TAAACTTATTAGATTTTTTTTAAGCTAATGGTTTAATAAAATAATGATAGAATTATCATTAGTAATTAAAAATAAAAAAATAATATCAATATATAAATATTTTAAAAGAGTAGATTAAAAATAAATGGAATAAACTATTTAAAAACAAAAAAAAATGTTATGATATTTATCTAGAAAAACTGTGAATTAGTTTAAAGTAATATTTGTATTCACATGTGATCTAAACAATGTTAAATTAATATTTTTCTTTCTAATTTTTTAAAATAAGCTTCTATATTTTTTAAGTTTATAACTGGGTCTATGAATTTACAAATAAATTTTATTGGATCCCTAGTTAGGATTTTGGTAAGTACGTAAATTTATTAAGGCGTAAAGCATTAATCTAAACTTCAAAAAATGTTTATTTAGTATTTATCAGAGTTAAATTTATTAAATGATGTAATGATTTATAATTAAACATGTATCTCTCTGTATATCGACATTCTAGAAAGAAAAATCTAAAATAAATAATCAATAAAACAGATAGAGCACTCCATAAACTCCCATCACTACTTGTTACATAAAGCAGATTATATTACTGAGTCTTTAATTAATTCTTTTGAAGTTAAATGTCTTATTCTACAAGTTTTTTTAATTAGTCATATTAATTGTCCAAAAATTGTATCACCCCAATCTTTCCAAAATTTATCAACAAATTATTAATCTCTCAATTATCTAAAATACACGACTAAGATAATGATAAAAATAGTTTTTAATGAATAAATTAGTCGCATAATTTTAGAAAGCATTGAAGCACCAATAAAAAAAATCTGGAAAAAAATAATAGTTATTTAAAAGAAATTGTGCATCTAATTTTAGAGGATGAAATTTATGGCTAACTTTATATTAATATGTTTGCAAATTTGGTTAGATTTGATGCAAAATAAGACGGAAAAGAAGCAGATAAGCATATATCGTTAAGTTCTGTTTTTTAATTAGTGAATCTCTCTTAATCAACTTGTGATCCCATCGTCATCATGTCGACCACAATTCGAAAAGGCATGCGCTAGAAGTTTTGTGCTCTCTCTTATGGTTTGCCAAATATTTAAATATATAATTTAAAATAAAATCTTCATAATTCCTTTCCTAACGAGAAGATAATGCAAGTGCTTTAGTACACATCGTGGGAGAATATAAATGATTCTAAGACATTAATTAAACTTAGGCAGTTTGTTTGTAGATTTTAAAAACTATTTTATGTAAGTTATATTTAAAAGTTTAATGTAATTGAGAAAGTTTTCTTTAAAGAAAAATAAAATACAAATATATCATAGAAATCTCTTCTTTTTGTTTTCAAAATATATGCAATATCTTAGATGGGGCTGTGGAGCAATTGGACGATATATGCCAAGGTGCCTATCTTCTTTCCTTTTCTTTTAGGTCTTTTCTTGTCTTTTTGTTTATTTAAAAAACAAGAGTGCAGTTCTTCGAATGCATGAATCGAATCCTTTTATGAACAACTAAGTAAAGATTCCTCTAATTTATTGACAAAATAACGAATAAAGGAATCAAAGATTCGATGAAATTAGTTAATGCGGGAATTTGAATTCGGTTTTATGATTTGCTTACTTAAATGAGTAAAGTATACATTTTTGTGGTTTGTATTTAGTTTCATTTATCATTTGTATGTGCTGAGTTTGATTATCTACTTTTTACGAATTTTGAAGGTGTTAGATAATTTAGTTTCTAAGTTTTTGTGCTTTTGTATAAGATTTTATTATAGGTGGTGCATACTTATAATAACACGTACTGTTTTGTTCTGTTAATGGAACACGCGGCATAATATATTCTTGGGTTCTCAAATGTATTATTCTATGGTCACATCTACGATGGTTATGATTGTGAGGTGATTGAGATGTAGTACAAGGCGTTTTAATAATCAATATTTTTGAAGTTCAAGTGAAAAAAAAAAAACTAGCATAATTTTATTACGAGATTAATTAGATCTCTAATGCATAGGAGTACATAAAACTTCAAGCCTTTACTGGTTAGTCTTGTGGTAATTTTAATGAATTTGTATTTTTAAAATTAGATTTAAGGCATTTTAAAAAAGAGTTTGAGTTATAATTTAGATTGTTTTGGTTTCACTTGGTATCATTTGTTCAAAACTTGTATTTTTTTTAACAGTACGTATAAATTAAACTACTAATTTTATTATTTATTTACATAAAATTAATAGTAATATTATTTCACGTGTAAGTGAGAATATTAAATCTTATCAACTTTAAAGAGTATGATAAATTTTATCTTTAAATAATTATATATTAATAATAAGACTCTAACACTTAATTGATAATTTTTTGCATAACATAAAATTATATATTACATTGATATTATTATTTGAAAAAATATATAATAGAATATACTTTAATTTTAATTTTTTATGTTGCCAATTTCATGAATTAACTTTACATAGTATTAAGATTATTGTTTTTTAATAAGTCGGGTTGATTCCATTCTAATCTTATGTTATTAAATTTTGATAGAGTCAAATTTAAATCTAAAAAAATTGGCTTTATGAAAAAATTGGATCTGTTGTAGATAAAGACCAATCCGTCTCATGTGCACTTCTAATGAAAGATTTTACACTATACTATTTATAAGCATAACCGTGTTTTAATAATGTTGGATAACGCGTCATTAGGTTATGTCAGGGGATGGCAAGAATTTGTTAGAGCCATACCAAGTTTGTATGATTAGGATACAGAAATTAAAAATTATGTGAGTTTTAATTTTTTTATATTTTTAAATTAATGTTTTTTTTTTATATTTTTAATTTTTTATAATTTTTAACTAATAATAAAAAATGTGTTAGAGTAGAGATTGCTAGCATCTTTCTTAGATATACATGGGGGGATGATCTTGCAGTTCAATTTGAGATGAAATGATTTCATGTACAGTATGTAGTCTTCAACTGAGAAAATTTGCATTGCTGGGTGAGATAGTAGTTGTGTCTGTGGGAAAGGTAGTCTAACTTGGTAACTGCCACAATTTAAATAATAAATAAATAAATCCAATTTCGTTATTGAATTGCATTGTTTTAAAATTATTAAAAAAAAAACTGACTAACAAATGTACCTTTCTTTTGTATAAATTATGCTAGTAGGCAAAAATGTTATCTTCTTTTCTTTACCTAGAAGAAAAAAATGCAAACTAATAAACATTTTTTTACTGACATGTATTCGATATTTAATATTTAATAGCATTCAATTCGCAAATATAATAGTAAAGTAGGGATATATGACATGAATTATGTGACAATGGACAAAAGTTAGGTGGTTTCAGATTTTGTTATTGGCGAGATGCACAGTGATTCACTTTCTATAATTAAAATAATAATTAATATTAGCATATATATATATATATGTTTATTTTGTTTATATTAAATAAATATTTTTTATAATTTTAATATTTAAATTGAGTCATTAACGATAGATCAAGATATTTTAAAATATTATATATTGATTAAGCTAATAATTTATTATACATTTAACTTATGACAACTTAAATTAAAATTTTACTAACTTAACATACAATAATTAATGATAAAAATTATTTATTTATTCACATAATTTATTGAAAACGAAATTATATATAATTTATAAAAAATTTAAACATTTTAAATTTAGAGAAATAAGTTAACAATTTAAATATCTTCGTGTGTGATTTGCTGTACGATGGATTTAGATATTTAAGTACATATATTTCTACACACTATGAATGGCGGGTGGGATCACGTTTAATCCTTATACACATATATTATTATTATTATGGGAAAGATATACGACGAGAATATATTATAATTTTTTAAACTATAAACTAAAATTATATAATATTTATAATTTTTAAAATTAAAATCAATGAATAATTATTTTATTTTAATTTATTATGTCCCTTTTGATTATTTAAACAAAAATAATAATTTATATTAATTATTTTTCATGCATGTATGACAATGATATAAATCTATATACCAGATAATGTTGGGGTATTGTATTAATTATTTAGTTTTATTTTTCAACAGTAAAAATAGCATAAATATTAATATATTCATTTATAATAAAAATATTGGTGGATTATAAAAAAAATGTAAATAAACAGATAAAAAAGGAAAAAGAAAAACATATTGAGCTTTGAAAAGGAGTGGCACCAAGTGTTGAGTCTTAATTCTTAGCATGTAAAAATGCATTTTGATATTGAATTTTGAAAGCACAGGACAGGTGTTGACAAGTGACAATTCATACACAAAAGGAGGGGAGGGGGTGAGGTCTAGAGACTAGTATGTAATATTAGTTGGCCTAGACCACCCAAACCATGTTTCCATCATTTGGGAAGTGTCGTAAGCCCGCACGCACCAGATTTTTTTAAAATTATTATTGTCCAAAATAAATATTAATAAAAAAGAAAAAAATATGGAAAGCAAGGCAAGGGCAACGAGGAAAGAGTGAAGGTAAAAAGCACTTGATCTTTGAAGAGGTAAGTCCACAGTGATTTTCCTAGTTCCTACTTCATTCCCACCTTCTCACTCACACCGCAAATCCAAAGTCCAAACTCTAGTTTCAACCATGTCAAATAAAACCTCATTTTTATCATTATAGGATAATAATTACCTAAATAGTGTCTCCATACAAAGGTTTAGCTTCATTCAATTTTTATACAACTAAATAATTTTCATTTTCCAAGTTCGTCATCTTTGCTCACATACAGTAGTTACGATGATGTGAGTGAGTGAGTGAGTGAGCGAGTGAGTGAGTGCGGCGAGTGGTTCATTTGTGTGAAATAAAATAATAATAATATGCTACGGAATTGTTGAATACGACTAGTATATGTATTTTTGTGTTCCTTATTTCCTTCTTCCTGAAGACTAGCTGTCTCTGGCACTGGCAGCAGAAGCAGGAACAGAAGCAGTGAAGGTTCAGAAATTCTGATAAGGAAGCAACGCAGCGTTTTGCGTCGCGGTAATGGATGAAATGTACGGAGTGCCGTCGACGGCGGAGTACGCCGACAAGGCCCTGATGACGCCGGAGAATCTGATTTTCCCGCCGGACTACCCCAACTTCTACATGTCATCCTCCGCCGCGGCTCGGATTCCCATGTTCGGATCCGACGAACTCCTCTCCGCTGAGCCTTCCTCCGCGGTCGGAATTCAGCGCCAGGAGGAGGATGACGTGGCCACCACCATCATGAAGGCCAAAATCGCCTCTCACCCTCACTACCCTCGCCTTCTCCAAGCTTACATCGATTGCCAGAAGGTCAGAACTAACTAACTCCAATCAGTTCCATCAAACATAACCGTTTCTGAAAACGGTTATGAGTAACAACTAATAAACATAACAACTTTCTGTTTACGGCGCAGGTTGGGGCGCCTCCGGAAATCGCGCGTTTGTTGGAGGAAATCCGGCGAGAAAACGACCTGTGCAAGAGGGACGTGGTTTCCACGTGCTTTGGAGCCGATCCCGAGCTCGACGAGTTCATGGTCCCCCCCCCCCCCTCCCCCCTTCTGCTCTCTCTTTCTGCGCGCACGCACTCACATATTTATTTATTTATTGAAAAATGAAAACGAAATACAACTTCTGTCACAGATTGAGATTGTGTCTCCGATTATCCTTTCTTTTTGGTTCAGGAAACCTACTGCGACATGCTCGTGAGGTATAAATCAGACCTTGCTCGCCCTTTCGACGAAGCCACCACCTTCCTCAACAAGATCGAAATGCAGCTCAGCAACCTCTGCACCGGTGCTTCCGTTCCCACCCTTTCTGGTCTGTTCTTCCCTCCCTCTCTCTCAGATAAGACTAACTATTTCCGTAGCTTACTAATATTACTAGCAGCTAGAGCTAGCATAATTTCGGAACTCGATGTTCGTTGATATCTGTGCTGCTTTTTTTTTCTTTTACGGGGAAACAAAAACGAAGGAGCAGTTTTATAAATGGTTGTGGGACTGCTATAGTACCCTTAGATGGCTTGAAGAACCCACATGGAGCATCGTCTATTGTTGCTTTCTTTGATCTACCTCGTCCTTATTTCATCTTCGATTTTTTATTCATGAATCGTTGATTACATTGGTATTGGTGTTCCTCACACAGAATAATCTAACTACTTGCTAATAGCTAATGTGTGCTTACAATAGTAAGACATGACACGCAGATTTGGAAGCAAGATTAGGAGATAAAAGTGTACTAAAAAAAGGGAAAAGAAAAACCCTAACGCTTCTCTCTCTCCCTCTCTCTCGGTGTTTATGCATGAGTATGACTGTGACGCTGCTCTCTGCCAGCAATTCATTGTGTGTAACTTTCGTTGTATGCTTTTACTGTTAGACTGTGATCCATGCTTCTTTCGTTGCAGGATAAAAAATAGTTTGATTGTTTGGTCATTCTGGGTTACCAGTGCAGTTTGAACCTTTCGCCTTTTTCAGTTCCTTCTTTATACGGGTTCGAGTTAATTGCTTGCTTCTATGGGTTTTTGTTTACATTGTTTGGACTTTTAGAGTCGCACACTCCTCTTTTTATTTCTTCTTTTTAAGCTTATTTTTTCCTTACCTGTCCGTGAATGTTAAGTTTGACAAACAATTGTCTTCTCTGCTGCATTTGGCTCTCTAATTTTGACGTTGATGGTGTTCTTAATGACATGTCAAATAAGTATCCTCGACACAATACACTGACCAAACGAAAGTCACAATGATGAGCCCGCAGTCGATTAAATGATGCATGACTGATATTTTGGTTTGTTAATTGTTTTGAGAGCTTTTCTTGTGATAATAGGTTTGTTTTCTTTTGTTATACAACTCAAAAGAAACATATGCAGGTAGCGAATATTTTGAAGATGACACACCCAAAAGCTATTTGTAAATATTATTTTTCTAGTTATATGTTAAATTCAAATTATTTTCTAATAATCATTTGTCATACTTATCCATATGATTAACCCAAAATTAAGGTGTGCAAGCCTCACTGAAAGAGAAATCGACAGGTTTCTTAGTTCTTCCTACACGCGTGAAATTTACATGTTTGAAAGACTTTTATGCCAATATCATGTATAATCTTCTAATGTAAGCAGTTTGGATTAGATGAACACAACATGATCTGACAGAAATGGCATGCAATAATTCTGCATTGATATTTTTTTAATGTATCGAGTTCCGACAGAGCAGAAGTGATGCATGTTGTTGGGAGATTAAAAAATGCTCATTGGGAATTGTCTAAGGGGCTGATAGTCTGCAACTAAAGTAATGTCAGACTTTCTTAAAAAAATATCGAAGGTAGCTGTGGATTATCCTTTGGTTAATATGATTAGAAGAATGAGCTCGACATTATTATTGTAGTTGGGTCATCTTCTTGCCATGCTTTCGTTCAAAAAAATTAATTTTGCGAATTTATTTTGAAGAATGATTTAATACATTGCCTAACTTAAGGATTCAACTGATTGAACGGTAATGGAATATTTCCTTCAGGTCTGTTCTTTCTCGTTGTCTGTTTCATCTGTTATTTTATCTCTTTATATAAAATATTTTACACGTCCTGAATCAAAGTAGATGTGGAATCTGTGGTTTTCTTCTTTTTATTTTTAGGATTTTGTTTTGGCTACTAAATTTTGTCCATGCTTGGAGATCGGTTTCTAACAAAACCCATACCATTTTGCTAATAGTGGATTCTGGTGACTGCGGATTCTATTACTCATATAATCTTAAGAGATTTTAATATGCCGAAAAGCGTGGTCACTGGTCAGGTTGGTTATGGTTGGCAAATGTTATTGTTTATGCTTAAAAGTACAGATTACCTTTTCAGTGGTGATGGTTTAGTTTGCAAGTGGCCTTGTGTCATCCTTAATTTGATGGATTCTCCTTCATCACGCCTTTTGCCAACCTATATTCCTTTAGCGTTTGCCTCGAAAGCGAATTTGACAGAATGAGAAATTCTTCGTTTCTGGTTCCTTCTTTTTCTTTTAATTTTTATTTTTCTTGTCGTAGTACTGTCGTAAACTTGGATCTCGTATTTGATAGAAACTAGTTTTTAGGTTCTTGGATTGATATAAACTCTCTGTGGTAAACTTGTTTTATTCTTAAGCATTAGTGCGGCTTTTCTCGCTTTGGAATGATAATCATTGTTGACATTAAAGCTATGTTCTTCAATTTACGTCATTTCCATATTATCCCAATTGACTCTCGTACATCAAATTGAAAAAAGTTGTGGAGGTAATGTGATTCTAACATGATCCTTTCAAAAAGATGTTTACTCTATTGTTTAAAATTAAAACCAATCTCTTCAGTCTTTGGATTTTAATGTTTTTACACTTAGGATCGTCGGAATAGATTATCTCAATTAGACGGCTAAATGGCTTTGGCTGGAACACTAATATTCTTTATTAGATTTGTGTTTTTGGGGATACGTTTTGGGATGCTTGTGATGTCTTATGTGTTATTCTAAGTCTGTAATTTAACACAACTAGGATATCTCAATTTGAAACCGAAGGTTTATTTTAATAGAAGGTATTAGGAAAGTAGTAATTTAAATTACCCGAAAGTAGGTTTGTTTTGCACTTCCCTTGCTTGTTCCGTATTCTGTTCACTTTTCTCGGACTTCTGGGATCAGATGAGTCTGTGGTATGCTGCTATATCGAGGTGTTTAATGTTGAACAGGGTTGTTAAGGGCAACGGGATTAGAAATGCTAACATCACACTTCATCTTGTACTTCTTTTAACATGATTATCGATATATTCTTTATTATTGGGTGAATTTTATATTGGATTTGCTAAATAGGAAGTGGGACTTGCTGGGATTAGCTTTTAATGAATTTCATCTACTAGTAAAGTGAAAAGAGTGTATTGCTACCCTTGTTCGCAGCAGAAATAGTGTAAAATAAAAGAAATTTGATTTATTTATTAATTATGGTTTACGAAGACTTAAAACAATGAGTGTTATCTCGAACTATTTATCGTGGACTAGTTTAGCAGTTTGGATATTATGACTACATAAGATCAATGTTTCTTTCTGTGGAAGCAGTGTCTTGGCTTTCTTATTTTTTTCCGGGAGACTGAAATTTAAGTTTTAATTAAGCCCTAGGATATTCTTAAAATAGGCGTGTGCAAAATCACAGCAATGTAGAAATCAGCAGCACAACTACATATCATTATGTCAAGCTGGATAAGTAAAATTATGTTTGCCTTTCGATGTTATGAGGGTTGGTTTGTTTCCCCTCAAATTAAAATTTTGCTTAAAAAAGCCCACGATTAGCTAACTCACTGGCATTGGAATATAGAAAAGTCGCCTTCTATAGCATTTTATATCCTACGAATGAGAAGCATTTGGATAGAAATTCTGTATTCTCCTTAATAAATTGGTCTTTACAGATGGTATGTTTATGTTTATTATATATATATATATATATATATATATATATATATATATTTATGTTGCTGCTGATTCTGAAGAATACTGATTAAGACCTTTTAGAAAAATCCCGTATGCAGCGGGTGATCACGAGTTAAAACATTCACATGCACTCCCGCAGATCTCGCTGTTTTTGCATCAGTATTTTCTTTGCGGGAACGATCAATGCCATCTATATATATCTTCCTAACGCGTTCTAGACTGGCCTGTTCGCTTCTGCGTGTCTTAGTGCTTTCGAATGCCATTTTCCTATTTTTTGTTATCTTGTGGCCCATTATGGGCCTCTGTCATTGACCCACGGGTCATTGCATGATGCGAAACACTTGTCAATCTCTAAATGCCTCTTCTTTTTCAGAAACCGGACCCCTCTGTGTAAGGGAAGGTAGTAATCCCATTCTTTCATCTCTAGGTAGTTGAGTTTTGGTTGAGCATTTGTTTTGAGGGACGATATTCTTCGTACTTAAGCCACTGTGGGCATGTGTTTGAAATAAAAGGCCTTTATTATGCAAATTTAATGCAAAATATTTGGAAAACATGAACGGTATAGTACTAGTCGATGCTTGAAGTAAATGACAGAAATAAAGGAAAAAGGAATTTACGTTGGACGCCCGTTGAGACTCATTTTTAACAACGAGAAAAGGAGGGTCAGGATATGGTAATTAAGGTCTGCACTGTGAGTCGTGGCCGTGGCACTTCTGGGGTGATAGGGTAAACATGGTTTTTACGATGCCGTACATTTTGCTTCATTGTAAACTTAAGTCTCTGGTTGGGGTCATAGTGACAGTGGATGGAACGGGCCACTGACACTGATGTTTACTTTTTTTCTTTACTTTCTTTCCAACCTAGGTCTGCTCTGATCTGGTCAGGTATGTACAGTGTACTGTCATGCGATGGTCAAATCCTTGTCGGATTGAGTGGATGTCAGAAGCAATTTCTGGGTGCTCGTGGGCTACTAGCCCTGTACTTATAAAACATTACTTGCCAATCGCCTATTGAAATAAGCTGGTCAGAAATCATGAGTGACAAAGTTTCTGTCGATTAATTTATGCTCGCGGGAAATCAAGGATGAAAATGGGAGGGATTAGGTTACGTGGTTTAAACTTATTTTATACTTAAGGCCCTCGGCGTGGTTTGTTTATTCAATTTTTAAAATGTGAACAAAGATCTGTGTTAAAAATTTAAAAAAATAATTTTTATTAAAATTATAATCATTACTGTTCTTAATGCGTTTATATTTGTAATTGTCTGATATTTTTATAAAGAATTATTATACCTACATTTTTAGTTTGTACACTTGAACATATAAAAATTTGCTTTATATTTAATGTATTGTACTTCTATACAAGGCTTGATTAGTAATATTTTTTTCCAGAAGTTTAATGTTTATTTAAGACTTGTCTTTTAATTAAATGCGCCTGTTTAGTTTAGATAAATTTTTGAAGTAATTGTATAAAAAATTTGAGGAATATAAATTAATTTAATTTGTAGGAAGGATTTTATTTTTCTTGTAAGTGGTTTTTTAGATATCATCTAATTCAAGATGAACCGAGGATAAAATTGTTGTCGATGCTTATTTATTCATTCACTAGATTTGAGTTTGAGACTTTCCTTGGAAGAGAATCAAGAATCTTGTCATCAACATATGGTGGTGAAAAGATATTTGAAATGACATAAGACGATGCACTTTTAACTAATTAAGTTTCTGATGAAGAATATACCTATGATTTGACTTTAGTCAACTTTAAGTAAGGTCATATACTTCTGACAAGTCCTATAGTAAACGAAATCATTTATTTTATTTTTGATTTTTTTTTTGTCTTTTTATGTTTGGAAGCTTTTAATTTTGTTATTACGTGACTTTTGTTGATTTTTGGTGTGGCCGCCTTAGTGGAAGTGATGAAACTTAAAAAAATTGGGTAAAGGTAGGAACCGAAATAAAAAAAGGAACGATGAATATTAAAAATTTGTAAAAAATTTTAAAGCTATAATTTTAAACTTGTCTGTTGTTATTTTCGGCACATACACGTAAATTAACCTGTGTGTATTGTCTTTGCTTGTTTTAATAATTGTTCTCAGTTTTTTACTTTGCATTTTGCAAATTAATTTTTAGTGTTTCATAATTCTAAGATTAGTTGGAAAGTCCTATTTCCCTAATACATTTGATTTTGGTACTGTTTGGGTAGATGATGGGGGTGTGTCATCGGACGAAGATTTTAGTACCGGAGATGGTGATGCTCAAGATGGACAAATAAAAGGTGAAGATCGTGAGCTCAAGGATAGGCTTTTACGTAAGTTTGGAAGTCACATTGGTTCTTTGAAACATGAGTTTTCTAAGAAGAAAAAGAAGGGTAAGCTTCCTAAGGACGCAAGGCAAATATTGCTTCAGTGGTGGAGTGTCCACTACAAATGGCCTTACCCAACGGTAAATGGTTCAATGCTTCTGTTTCTTTTTTGGAAACTCGTGAATTTCATTCCCATACCTGCTATTACTGAGCTAGATCTTGTTTTATTTGATCATTTAGGAAGCTGATAAGATTGAACTGGCTAAGTCAACAGGGCTAGACCAGAAGCAAATTAACAATTGGTTTATTAATCAAAGAAAACGTCATTGGAAACCATCTGAGAACATGCAGTTCTCTATGATGGAAAATCTTAACGGACGGTTCCTTGCTGATGATTGAGGTGCATGTACATGAAGTTCTCAAATGTATATCTCGATTAATTATTGCTTGTATTTTTACTTTGTAAATTATAAGCTAAAAGCAGATTACTGTCAGTAATATGCTTACTTTCCCATAAAAAGAGGGAAATCATCATAGTAATTAATTTGTGTCCATTGTATTCTTGATAAATAACTGCTGACATTGTTAATGAATACTTATACTTTGGTTCAAGGGCCTCCGATGCATCAATAGCTTGTGTTTGGTTACTGTTATTTATGGGTATCTATTTCAACGTTGATAATTTTTTGTTTTAAAAAATAGTATGTAAAGTATTAATTTTTTAGATTTTAAATAAAAGTTTCTAGGTGGAGGCTGGTCAGGAAAAACACCCAAAGCTTATTTGCAGAAAATCAGGTATTTGCATATGAAGTGGTGCTCTACATTCTTATTCTAATTATCATTAATAAAATAACTTTAGGGGAAAAAATGACATTAATAAAATTGTTGTCTATATTGTTTTCTTTAATCTAGTGTTGCGTAAGCATTCAGTTATTTTGTTTTTGGTTTTTTTTTTCAAGTCATGTGATTTTCATAGCTGCATTTATGAAAAGTCTAACTTAACACCTTACATTTCTCCAAAAGTCAAATAGTTTTTATCTAATAATTGACTTTGAATAAATGTTATTTATCATTAGTTAAGGGGCAAAAAATATTTTGAAGTTAAGAAATTTATCAGTCACAGGATAGCATAATCACAATAGTTATTATGGAACAAAATTCTTTTTACTCACGAAACATAAGATGAAGCTGATATATAGTTTCAAAAATGCAAACCATTTGACTATTTTAAAACATTTAACAAAAAATATAAAAAAAACCAATTTTAATTAAATTGATAGTAAACATTTTGTAAACTATTTATTTTTATTGTTATATTATTTTTTCTCTTAAAATCTGAGAGTAAATTGTTTAATTTAATTTGTGTTTAAAAATTATTTGTTGGGGAACGTATGTGTGTATGATTTGAAAATTTTAAAAGAAGAGGGAAGATGGGGACATTAAAAGACGAAAATGGGAAAAAATTGGGAGCTTATAGATTCAAATGTTAAATAAATTTTTTGGTTGATAAAACTAGTTGAAAGTTTGTTGTTATATAATCAAATTTATTAAATTATAATTATTTGATAAAATTATTTGAAATCTGAGAAATAATTAAAAATGTAGTATTATATTAATATAATAATAAAATAATAATTTCTCGTTTTACTTATTTATTATTACAATTTGATTAAATAATTAAAACTCATTGATTTATTATTAATAATAAATTAAACATTTTAAAATGGAAATGGAAATGGGCACCAAAAAGGAGAGAAAGTACTAAATATTATAGGAAAAATAAAAGAGAGGGAACGGTGGTGTTGAATGGTGATCTCTGCCGTGTTGAAAGAGCATAGAAATGTTTTTACTAAATTATTTGTAAGGTTAAGAATCAAAATAAGAAATAAAATATTGTAAGTAACCTTAATTAATAAGTTTAACACGTTTTAAGATATTCATATAATTAATTTTATTGAATAATTAAATTTTGATAAATTAAATTTATAACTTTGAGCTAGTTTTGTGTATATGTAAACTTATTTTTATTTTTGGTTTTTGAAATTTACTAATCAATTAAGTTTTAGTTTTAATGTAACTCTATTAAATATTTTAAAGATAATTTTATTACACATAATAATTATATTCCGTTCAAGCATGATTGCTTCTAATAAATAATATATGTGATTTAAAAAAATCGATTAACTTATTTTTTATATTAATAAATTATAAGCTTTTAAATTAACTACTAGAAATAACTATAAGTTATTAAAATTAAATATTTTATTGAAACACATTTAATTTTATTACAGAGTTTAATTTGAGTGATAAGGGGCTAAATATTATTTAAGGAAAGTTTTAAGTTCGAGTACGTAACTCAAATAAAATATAAATTAAATCAAATAAAAAAAAGTTTTATGATTTATGTTCATAAATTATAGACTTTTAAATTAACTATTAAACATACCTATAAGCTATTAATATTAAACTACTTTTTTTTAGAAGCACAATTTTAAGCCTTACTATATTATTTTTAGAATTTGGTTTAGACATTTTTCATGGCATTTAGGCTATAAGTAGAGTAAAAGTAAAAATAAAATGCTTCTCTTATCGTAACGGAGTTACCTTGCATGTACAAACATGCTGTTATTTGAACTTTTAAATTTATTACACGGACCAGTAGGGTCGTTGGCACTTGATTAGATTTTTACTAGAGTACAGTAAAGGGTTCATCGACTCGTGAGTGTACCAATGACACGAGATCGTGTTAACGGTTAAGTGACACGGAAGAATGTGCTAACAAGTTTCCTAATAACACCGGGAGTGGGAATTGGAAAGGAAGGGTCATCGTTTGAATTACTTTTTAGTAAATTTTTGTAATAATAAAAAATTAAATAATAAAATGAATTAGTTTTTTTTTACAATTTAAAGCAGTTTATATTATATTAATACCAATTAATTTTAACAATATATATTATATTTAAAAAAATTTCTACTGAAATTGAGACTCAATATTAGATAATAAATATTAAAACAGGTACTTTGGGAGTGGGCTTAATCTGTTGTTGGTGCTTTGGTAAGTACTGGATGTAGCAGGGTCGCGTTAAATCAACCCATGTCATGTGTCATTCCATTCAGATCATCGAGCCTACCCTGTACGATGCTTTATTTCCCTCCTTATTTATTCCTTCCATCTGCATCAGTTGGTGTTGCTGTAAATGTATCCTTTTCATGTCCATTTTTAGGTGATTTTACCATGTGAATGTTTTATGCTTCATCAAAACTTTATTTTAACCAAGCTTAAAATAAAGAACAAACAAGTTAAAAGAATAAGAATATATTATTTTAAAAATAATAAATAAACTATTTATCTTTTGTAATGATAATTTTTTTAGTATAACCGAGACTGATTAAACCTCTGATTATATATTTAAATTTTTTTTCCGACTCTACAGTATCATTTTGGATTAGGACGTTCACATTTTTATATTGACAAGTAAACGAATATTTACGTTTAATTTGCATCAGCACTTAAAAAATACATTAGTTGTCAATATGACATCTCATTTACGTGTAGCATTATGTATGACAAATATTCCTGAAATCTACCTTTGGTAAATTAAATTAAAAATTAGATAGGAAGAAAAGACTATCTTTCTTTTTCTGTCAAAATTGAGAAGACATTGTGGGTTTTTTACATAAATAAATTTTAAAAAAATCATTATTTTTTAAATGTCCTAAAAAGAAAAAATTTACGTAAATGTTTTAAAAGTTTGTTTAATATAAGTCGATTTAAATTGACTTTCGTTTTTATTTTAAAAACTTTTACACAGAAGTTAACTTTAATCGACTTTGATCAAAATGGTGCCAGAAGAGAAGTCGATTTAAATCGATTTGTGTGGAATTAGTTTCACTTTTGTTCGATTTAAATCGACTTTGACGAAATTATACTATTTCTGTTTAAAAAAGAAGTCGATTCAAGTAGATTTTAGTTTAATACAGAAGTCGATTCAAGTAAATTTTAGTTTAATACAGAAGTCAATTTAAGTAGATTTTGGTTTAGTACAAAAGTCGATTCAAGTAGATTTCAGCTTAATACAGAAGTCGATTCAAGTAGATTTCAATTTAATATAGAAGTTAGTTCAAGTAGATTTCAGTGCTCATCTTTTTATCGCCCCTATAAAATACACAACTTCTTAACTCTGCATTAATTTGTTGAAAAATTTGATAGATTGAGTGTGAAAATTTTAGTAGAATGAAAGAGAATAATATTCATGTGCTTATATATTATAATGGTGAGATTCTAAACACAGTGGAGGGAGAGATATTTTGTAGCGATAATCAGGCTTGGTTAATTGTCCGTCCACCAATTACTTTACTACAGTTAGAGAATCGAATACTGGAGGAGTATGGGGGAAACAATATACAAGTCTAAAAAATATTCTACAGGATGCCAGTCGACATTGGCCCAAATGGTATTCGATATAAAAGGTGGCGAATTCGAAAAGATGAGCACATTGATCACATGTTTAGTTATTTTAACTCATTTGCTGAAGCTCGTACAATAGAGCTTTTTGTCGAACTACAAGTTGATCATTTTAGCTCTGGAGGTTCAGCCCCAGATCCATTACCTTCTCCATCAAATCCAAATCCATTAGTTGAGATGTCCCATAATGACGTGCATAATTCACATGATGAGGTAGATTCTCCAAGTTTTGAGCACTTTGTTAGACACATTGAAAAGCCATTATCACTTAATCCACAAGAAATGCGACAAGGTAGCTTGGTCGGAGATTTTAATTTTTTTGTGACACAACAAGATGATGAAAATGATGAAGAGGAGGACCTTGATGATGAAGAAGATGAGAAATTGTTTGATGTGCAGAATTTGGATGAACACTTGATGTCAGAATCTCAATTCCAATCTCAATCTCAATGTCGACAACGTCCTAGTCACTACTCAACAATTAATTTAGATGCAATGCATTGTAATGTGAGTGAATTTGGTTCAAGTTCAAGCATAAGGGGAGTGAATGATTTGTCACTTGGTCAAGTATTTCGCACCAGAGATGAAGTGACGTTTGCTGTCAAATATTACAGCATCCGAAGAGGTGTTCAATATAAAGTTTATGAATCTGACCACATAAAATTTTATTACAAGTGTGTGAAGTTTGTCATTGACTGTAATTGGAGTATACATGTCACTTTTTGTTAAAAATTACAGTTATGGGAAGTGCGAAAATCGAGAGAACCACACACATGTGTCTTTCTAGAGTCTATGAATCAACATGCTCAAATGGATTATAATATTATCTGTGCTCATATATACCCCATGATACAAGCAGATTCGACGAAAAAAAACAAATCTCTACAAGTATCAGTAGAGTCAGAGTTAAGGTTCAAGATAACATATATGAAAGGCACTCGCAACCTTTCCATTACAGCCATAGTTAAGTCAACGTATTGTCGTCTTATTGAGTTGTTTGTACAAAAGGGCACAGAGGCAAAGACGCAACTTACTAGTGGTAAAAATTTTTCACAAACCTTGTTAAATGCAATTGAGGAGCATAGGCAACACTTTGGGAAGATGAGTAGCACTAGAGTGACCTGCGATGTGTTAGAATACTTGGTGTTTGAAAGAGATAACATGGGAAGTCGTGGTCAACAAGAATTCAGGGTGCATTTAACAGAGCGATGGTGTGATTGTGAAAAATTTCAAAAGTTGCATTATCCATGTCGTCATGTACTCGCTACGTGCTCTGATGCTCGAAGAGATTGGACATCTTTTGTTAATCATGTTTACACCATGGAGTTTGTGTTCAATGTATATAAAACACAATTCTCTTCGATTCCTAATGAAGAATGTGGCCACCATATACTGGCCTTCCTATACGGCCAAATCCTGCACTTAAGCAAAATCTTGAGGGTCGTCCAATTTCTACAAGGTTTCATAATGAAATGGACGAGACTGATGACAGCCAAGGAAAACGATGTGGATTATGTAGAGATACCGGTCATACCAGATGGACATGCCCCCATGCTCCATCCTCTAGCCAACATAATTGATTTAGTGTATTATGTAGTAAAAGTAATATTGTTAAGTTTAATTAGTTGCAGTATACATGTTGTTTATCGCTTTATTTTCTTGTTTATCTCCTTATAGGAGTATTCTAAGGGCTCATTTTCTCGCAAAATTTCAATTATGATGTACATGAGAAGTACACAGCCATGTACACGGCCAAGTACTTTGACCGTGTATATCTCTGGTCTCTAACAATTGCCTATCACGATGTACATGAGAAGTACACGCCCATGTACTTTGACCATGTACATCTCTGCTCTCTAACAATTGCCTTTCACAATTTACATGAGAAGTACACGGTCATGTATTTTGACCGTGTACATCTCTGGTTTTGTGTTTACATGTTTTCATTAGGAATAAAAGTCTTACACCATGCATAAATTAAATAATAAAAAGACCAAAGTCCATAATTTTAAAAGAAAAAGTACATAAAATTAAAAGTCTTACACTATGCATATATTAAAAGAAAAAGTACATAAAATTAAATGTCCTAAACCACCATAAAATTAATACCTAAAACTAAAATATCAACCAAATTATAAGTCTACCACACATATCTATCTGAATCACTATGAGCCACGCCTATTCTGTCTAGGACCAGCAATGTGACTTCTTGTTGCACAACGACGATATACAATCTGTCACACTGGTCTATGATGTACATGTTCTTCCTCCTCTTCCTCGTCCACTTCTTCATCCTGTTCATCCTCTTCCTCCTCCTGACATGACCCTTGAAAAGAGAGAGTTCGAATATGCGTTGGTGATGGTCGATAGAAATGATCTGGTGGTTGAACCTCTTGAACTGGTGCACGTGTACCAGATGAATTTAGACATGCCATAATATCAGCATCTGACATGAAAGGTGGACTGAAAGATATATGCCGTGCAATATCACTCTGGTCTGCACCTGTGACAAAATGTTGTATTGAACTAGGAGTAACGAAAGAATCTGACATGAACTAATGACTAGGGCCAGCCACAAACTGCTGGCTCGGGGTCATACATGGTTGGCTAGGGCCTGCCACGAACTGGTGCTGAGAAGGGCCAGCCATGTACTGCTGGTGGATATGTCCTGACATGAAGTGTTGGCTAGGTCCTGACATAACATGCTGGCTAGAGTACATGGGTGCTGGTTGGTATATATGCTATGACTGACCCTTAGTTTGGTGGCTATGTTGTGCTTGAGGCTGTAGGGTGGAATCTACATTAGGTTGTACATGGTCATCCTTATCATGTGTCTCATATGGATATTGGCGTCTGCTAGTACGTGTACCAGCACGCAAGCGACGCCTGAAGGATCGTCTATCTGGGACGTCAGCAGGATGTACTATCTCTGGTGCTTGGGGGGCATGAAGTGTTACACCATCAGGCAAATCCCTAAGCTTTAGATCTTGTAGAGCTCCATCCAGCGACAAAAATCTATTCACTACTGACAAATACCATAAGAAATACTTGACAGAGGGACGATCATCATCAGCTAGCGGATAATGAATTCGTCTCTCCCTACGTGCCTCCCATGCAGCATGCCATGTCACATGATACTCAGGCCACCAAATATTTAGATCACCCTTCCATCCTTAGCGTGCAACCGATCAATGTTTATGGGGATTATTGGTATGTGTTGTGCTCTACCAAATTGTCGAACCACGTGATCAGCATGATGCCACTCAATCACAACAAACTGGATAAGAGCAGTCACAGATGCCGATACATCAACCTCATCATAAACAAAACGAGGTGTAACATTCCTCACCTCATTGTTATTGTAGGACATCCACCTAAACTGAAATAATCAAAAATAAATATTAGACTAATAATCTTTATAATTGAATAGAAGACTTAGTACCATATGTCATATTTTTACTTACCCCATTAATGCCAATTGAATCAATAATCCTCCTATATTACAATAACTTATCTGTGTGTGATCTCGTTGATGACCTATAACTTTTCCACCTAAAATGAACATAATTTAATTTCAAACTTGCATATTTAACATTATAAATATACTATTATAAATTAAATGAACATACCTCAATGCTAGTGGAAAAATGAGTGGAAGATGGTGTCGAGGGGCCAATTGAGGTATTTTGTACCATGCCCAAGACTGTAGAAGAGGTAGACAACCCGCAATTTCAGTGACATTATATTTCACTGCACGACAAAGTTCACAGCAAACCCCCAACTATAGTTTGTAATTCCAATAAAATCAATGAGAAGAGGAAGTCACTTCATATGAACCCTAAAACCAGATTTATCCGGGAACAGTACTCCACCCAATAGAATCATTATGTATGCTCTGGTATAACGGATAATAGTCTCCTCATCAGCATTATGGGGTAATGCTCCAAATGTATCTGTGAACTAGTGTAGATTTACAGAAAATCCTTTTATGTTTGCCTCATATGAAACTACTCCAAGTAAATCTCCACACAATGCCCATATATTTCAATCATAAAATTTCTCCCACGCTCCAATGGACCTACTCACAGGGAACCCATCAACACGCAAGCCTAATTGAAATACAACATCCTCTAAAGTAATCGTACATTCTCCGTATGGAAGATGGAATGTATGTGACTCAGGCCTCCAACACTCTACAAGTGCACTAATGAGTGCCCTATCATAATAAAATATCGGCACCATTTGAGCAACATGCCAAAAACCACTCTGCTTAAGATATGGTTCTATCTTTGGATCTGGAGCAACCATCATATTATAGCGTCTACTTTTTAAAATTCGAACATCCTATAAGATAAAAAAAAATTATATATCAAGTATTGTTTACTAAAACTAAAAGAAAATACCAAAATAGTAAGCAATATTTAATTCATATACAATATGATATCTAATATACATAAATTACAACAAAATTATACTTAAATTAAATAACTCACAAAATAAATTTAACAAATAATTTAATTTAATTAAGATGATCTTAATATATCAAGTCTATCAAAATGAATAAACAAATTATTACAATACGAATTAACAGTTAAAATTCTCCAAATATATTAAACACACTAAATTTATATTTATTCAAATTTACTAAGTTATAATCTAAATTTTTACTTGCTTAAAACTATAATTATTTAATTTATGACAACAAATAGTAAAAATTCTAATATCAAATACACTTATAGTAAAATAATTGACAAATTAAATACGTAATAAAAATTATGTGCTATATATATCACGGTAGAAAATAAATATATAAAAGACTAATAATTAAATATACAATAATTTTTTATATTTAACATTTTTTAATCAAACATTAAAAAAGATTAATGAAAAATAAAATTAAAAATATTTCAAATAAATATAATGATATTTTTAAATATTTACCTGTGTCGATAATTTACTTGCAATATGATCAATAAAATTAAGTCGATTTAAATCGTTATCTATCTCTCTTGCAGCAACAATGGACTTCTTTTTCTCAATGTATTACTATTATTGATATTTTTTTCCTTCTGCTCTCAAGACAGGCATGGCGGGGGATAAATAGCCATGCAGAAGTCGATTAAAATCGAAACCCAGCCTTCCTTTGAAGTCGATTCAAATCGACTTTCCCATAAAACCAAAATCAATTTCAATCGACTTCTGTATTGTGGCGAAACTTGAATTAAAGTCGATTTGAATCGACTTCTATGTACTTACGAATACGGTTTGAATCGACTTTTATAGGAGAGAGCAGCGGTGCAGTGAGCTTAAACCAAAGTCGATTTAAATCGACTTTTATACACCAACAAAAACGGTTTTAATCGACTTTCATTCAAGTTTTATTTTAAAAGAAAATCTATTTGAATCATCTTTTTTAAAATTGATATCAGAATATTTATGTAATTTTTTTTATAATAGGATATTTACGTAATTTTATTTTATTTTTTATTTATTATTGTAAAAAACCCATACATTGTAGAGGGCATTTTTTGGGTCATGGGTAATTTACCCCAATACATAGCTCCATGGGTCGGGCCCATGAAAGCAAGTTAATCCATGCTGTATCCTAGAAAAAAAGATGCGTGTGAGGTACACGTGTGAGGTAGCATGACACATCACACGCGTGTTATTTGATGGAGAGATGGAACCGAACTGACCCGAAGTGAATCCCATTTTCTATGTGGAAAGCGTAGCAGATGGCAACGTTGCATCATCTAACGTTCGTTTCTTCTTCCTTCACTTTCCGACCAATGTCGGTTCGTTGCGACAACGAGCGCCGTGCGCTGTTTAGCCGCATTGCTCCTGTCTATGATAACGTGGGCCATCGTTCCCTTTGTTTTCTACTCTCACTTCTATCTTTGGTAGCTAACATGCGCATTTTGTTTGTTTGGAGTGACAGCTGAATGATTTGCTGAGCTTGGGTCAGCACCGGATTTGGAAGCGAATGGCAGTTTCGTGGACTGAGTATTCTTCTCTTCTCGCTCTTCATCTCTGCATTTCCTTCAAAATTTCACTTTTTTATTTTTATTTCTTGATTTCTGAAATTGGTGTTTCTGTGAATTTGGGAACAGAGCGAAAATGGGAGACCGTGTGTTGGATTTGTGCTGTGGAAGTGGAGATTTATCGTTTCTCTTGTCCCAGAAAGTTGGCTCTGATGGAAAGGTTCTCTGCGTGTGTGTTTTAGTTTGTTAGTGTAATTATGGTTTTGTGAATCTTTTGGGATTTGGAAAATGTGATAGTTGGGTTTATGGCAATGTGTTTTATTATAAAATTTAGTTTTTGTGGTTATTACTACGAGGAGCGCTACGCACCACTCCTAAAGCATTTTCTAGTATTGGTTAGAATTTAGTAAAATTGTAAAATTATGGTTCAGAGTCGTTAAATTGGAAGTGAAATCCACATAATTTTGCTTGATATTATTTATCAATTATAGTGAAATGATGGTTGCTTGAATGTTTTGGGGTTTAGGTGATTGGTCTTGATTTCTCGAGGGAGCAGTTATTGATTGCTACATCTCGGCAGCACTCGCTTTCTAACAAGTGCTTCACGAATATTGAGTGAGCATGGGTAATTTTTGCAGTATGCAGTCATTAGATGATAACCTGAATATTATTTTTATTTTTTTCAACTCCTTGTCCACATTTGATACTTCCTAAAAAGAAAAAGAAAGTCTTATGCAATATAAAGCTAAATCAGTGGTGGAAGAATCCTTTTGTGATTGTTTTGCATCTTAGTACCGTTGGTGACAGTATAGGAAGGGAGTAATCGTTTGTTGTGTCGTAGGTGGATTGAAGGTGATGCTCTTGACTTGCCATTTTCTGACGGTTGGTTTGATGCTGTCACTGTGGGCTATGGTCTTCGGAATGTGGTTGACAAGCGTAAAGCCATACGGGAAATTTTAAGAGTCCTGAAAGCTGGTAGTATTTGGATCTCTACTTATTAACATGATGGTTGATATTTGTATAAAATTTGACTCATTATATGGTTTATTTTGGTTTCCAGGGTCTAGGGTGTCTATCCTTGACTTCAATAAAAGTGATGAGTCACTAACTTCTTCAATTACGGTATATATTTCAACCTAAGTAGTTGTTGCTTTGTATGAGATATAACAATAATGTTGGGCACAGCAATGCTCCTTTACAAATATGTCTAGCCACCTTTCTGACCGTCTCATAGCATGTTTGGTTTTACATTAAAATGCGTACGGATCCATGTTTACTTTAATACTATTAGTTGTAGGCTTTGCGCTGGATTCGTGTTTACAGACTTTTAACGTGTTTCCAAACGCATACTCAGTAAATGAGAGGAGTTGGCTTAAGGTTAAAATTCAAGATATGTAAAATGAAGATAAATTTATTCTTTTCAGCAATGCCCTTAATTTTATCACGACTTTCACGGGAATGCCGCCCATGGAAACAGTCATGTTTGGCACTGCTAGGATTAGAGAAAAACTTACAGTCCATTTGTGTGAATGAATATTAGATTATGTATCATATATTCTACATTTTTTTATTAATTTGCTATTGCCATTTTGATTTAAATGGGCACTGAAGGTAACCCCCATGTGTTTACTTCTAGGAATGGATGATTGACAATATTGTTGTCCCTGTAGCCTCTGGTTATGGCCTTTCTGAGGAATACAGATATCTCAAGAGTTCAATAAGAGAGTTTTTAACAGGTTTGTTAGATCAAACTTTTAAATCAGCATGTTTCCTAATATTTTTTAGAAGTTACTTGGCAGGATCATTATTATATTGTGTCTTCTCCATACTCTATATATTGAGTTACTTTGTAATTTATTTATTCTCTCTGCTATAGAATGAGAGAAGTGTGGCTGTTTGACTTTGGTCTTCGGTGATGTAACTTGCCTTTGTTTCTGCCAGTCTAATATAAGGTTGGGTGGGAGCCATCATGCTTATTAGGTTGAGCCAAACAAATATCCAGAAAGCCTCAGATTCAATCCAGTATAAAACTGCAATTATGGGTAAAAATGAGTTTAGAGTATGACCTATTTACTTGGTATAGGTTTTTAAGGCCTATCTTGGTATTTAGGGTGTTTTTAAGGCCTATCTTGGTATTTTTAATAGTATGATCTAACCTGAAAGAGTATTTAGAAGTTTAATTTTTAGTATAGCCTTTTAAACAAACCAACAAACTTAAATAAATTAGTAGGGGTTAATGTAGGCCAACTGGCCAAGGCCTTTAAATAGAACACGTATATATTCTCTTTGGATTTTACCAAGCAGCTGTTTTCGTCATTAAGGCCTAGCCTCAAGCTTCCATTTAGACCAAACATTCGTGTAACACCATTTTGATGTGTCCCCACATGATAGAGCTCAAAATAGAGGAAAGCTGCACCATAAAAGTAGAAACGTGTTTATAAGAAGCTTGGAAGCATCTAACAGGAACTAACAAATACAATGATTGTATGCAAGTAACCACAACTAACAAACTAAATTAAAAACTATCGGTTATATAGCTTCTATTACAACCACAAGCAAATAATTATCTAACAAGCGGGTTCAAGTTTGGACCTTCTAATCCGAGCTCAGCTAATGGGAGACTTCGGTGAACACTTTTATTTTATTGATCATTGCATTGGACAATGAGCGAGATTCACGCAGTTCATAATTGTGTTCAATACTAGGAAAATAATTAACAAACAAAAAGGTAAGAATTATGTCCATTGATGGTTGAACTTTGTCATGATTGATTGCCTAATTAAGAATCGTCCTTTGATGCAGGGAAGGAATTGGAGAAACTTGCTTTAGAAGTAGGATTTTCTGCTGCCCGACACTATGAGATCAGTGGAGGCCTCATGGGGTGCTTGGTAGCTAAACGTTAGATGGGATTTATGGATTATCTTTTCTACTAACAGATTTTTTTTGTCCCAGTGTGAATTGTATTCAGGTTGTAAAAACATGAAATCTGTTGCTAATCGAAGTGCATTACTATTGAATTAATTGTATCTCATCTATTGCCTAGCATTTTTCTGTTAATTCTATTTGCATAAATAAATGTTCTAAGGAAAAGCTTCAGTCACGTTTTCATATTTCTTCATCTAATCTTTTTTAAATAATGGTTCTGGCATTATCGTTAAATTATGAACTTGTGTTTCTGTACTTTCTCACCAAAGCGGCAAAGCCTCTTTACCCCTCTTGATCACGTTGAGTATGTTTGAGTTTGTAGTGCTTGATCATTGTCTCATTGGAGTTGGACACGTTAAGTACAAATTAAAAGCTTATACTCTTTATTTATTTATTCTATGTAAAACTATTCTTTAGAAAATAAATAATAGCTGTATACAAACGTAGTGTTTATGAGCAGTTACATATAGCAGACAATGTTAATCATGGCACTATACAGTATACATTGTTAGCATCCCATAAACGTATTGGAAATATGACAAAAGCTCCCCCGGTCTGAAGTATATAATTTTAATAGCAATGGTTCAGTTGCATTGTTAACAACCACCTTTAGTGTCATAGTCTGAGCGAGACCAAGTTATTTGCCAATCACAGGTTTAAGCTGTGCTTCAAACATGCTATGTGGAGCGGTATTCTCTGCATTTTCATGATCACCTGGGATAAAAAGAGCTATTTGACATGGTAGCAATTGAATCAGCTGCATTAAGAGGATAAAATGGGTCACCACTTGTGTCATGAAGTTCCATAGTACTCTCATCTAAGAAGGGTGGATTAGAGGGAGCAACAAGTTGTTCATCCTTCTTTGTAAGCATCTGGAGTGCCTTTGACATAGTTGGCCGTAATGAAGGGGCCTCTTGGGTGCATAAAAGTCCTATGTGCACCACTCTTAAAATCTCATCCTTAATATTACTATTGTGGTTATGCAACTCTAGATTAGGATCAAATAATTGTTCAGCAGTCCCTGACTGAAAATGCCTCCATGCCTGATGTTGCCAGAATAATAATAAATGAAAGAAAACGATTTTTAAATCAGTATTTGATCATGTCTTGATTATGATTAATGTACGGTTGAATAACAAGAATCTACAACTGACCACTGTAACTAAACCGTCTGAATACTCCGATGCTTTGCTCCTGTTGTTCTGTCTCCCAGTAACTATTTCTAGCAGTAAAACCCCAAAACTATATACGTCTGCCTTCTCTGTTAATTGACCATGAGCTAGATACTCAGGAGCCATATACCCCCTGCGGACCCAAGAGTGAAAGATTATTTCAGATATAATACACTGCAGTTCCCTGCAATATCACTTGGCTCTTTGCCTTATAGTTTGTTCAAAACTGTTGTTCTTAAAGATACTTACAAAGTTCCTGCTATAGCTGTACTTATGTGGCTCTTGTCTTCTTGAAAGGATCTGGCCAAGCCAAAATCAGCAATTTTAGCACGAAGCTTTGCATCCAATAGGATGTTGCTGGCTTTTATATCTCTGTGAATTATCCTTATTTTGGAGTTCTCATGCAGGTAAACTAATCCTTCAGCTGTTCCAATCATAATTTCATATCTCTTTTCCCAGTTCAGCTCTCTGCCCTTGTTTTTATCTATCAAGAATAAACTGAGATAAGTTTTATTGTTTATATTATGATGAACTTACAATCACTAAGTGATCAAAGTAAGGTGTTACAAGTGAAAAGAGAGAGCCATATATTGTTGCGAAGAAATTACCAAAAATGAAGCGATCAAGACTTTTGTTGGGTAGAAATTCATATACAAGCAAGCTTTCAGGTCCTGAACAACTGCATCCTAACAACCTGACTAGACTCTTGTGTTCCACACTACTAATTATGTTGACTTCGTTGTAGAAATCTGCTGCTCGATGTCTGTTGTTGTAATATAACCTCTTGATTGCAATCTCTCTTCCATCAGCTAGAACTCCCTGCAATAGCAAATTGTGAGCGTGTCATTGATGACTAAAATGACGGAGAAACATGTCTTCAGAAAAGAAATCTACTTTATAAACTGTTCCAAATCCTCCTTGCCCTAACTTGTTACTTTCATGAAAATTTCCAGTAGCCTTGTCCAACGTAGAGTACTTGAAGTTCAAGCTATTGCGCTGAAGAGTCTTAGCTAACTTTTCTGCATCATTTGAACCTGGAATCAAGAATGATCATTGAGATCAACAAACATCCTTAAAGTAGTTGTGTTAAAGCACATGATGATTCCTCAATTTGTTTATAGAACAAGGTGGAGCTCTTCGAAGATGAAAAGATCCTTACATAGTATTTCAGAGGACGAGAACTAGTATATAAATATGTGGCACAGACAGCCAAAGTCTGTTGGCGCTTGGTTCTTTCTAAGTTGGTTGAAATCTTGTGAATGGAGAACTTTAGTTTTCCCAAATGGCCTCACTGAGCTCTATTTGGAGCGATTGAGGCTCAAAGTGGCTTTTTGACTTAAAAGAGTCTTCGCAAAAAAATTTACACCCAAATGGTTTCAGCTTTGTATCATGGGTATGGTGAGATATTCTAGGTTTGTCATTCTTATAAGCAAATAGATACAAGTTATTAATTAAGTCAATTACCTCTTCGTTTCTTTTGAATGTATCTTTGTTTCCATATATAGACACCAATAATAACTCCAACCACTGAAACAATCACTGAACTGACTACTGCAACGACTATCACCACTACATTACCTGCATAAGTCAGCAAAATGAAATCATACCCAAGAGCATCCTAACACAAGGTGATAGCCAACTAAAGAATTTGACGAAAACTACAATTCGTTTACCTCTTGAACTCCCATTTTGCTGTTCCTTGTTAAGAAAATCAGTGTCTGAGTACCTCATGAAGCATCCAGTATTGAGTGCTCGCCCTTCTGACCAGGGCAAGCATCCCAATATGGAAGATGATGCATTTTCAAGACATGCTTTGCAAGAGCTTTTGTCCAAAGTCCTCCAACAATCAGCCAAAACATAAGCGGATTGGTTTGTTGCTCCTGTTACTGCAACGTTCCCTTTGGCATAGCCTTTGTTGTTGGGTGCATCTTGAGCTGCTCTTAAAACTGCTTGCTTTGCTGCTGCTTGAAAACTCGAGCTCTTTCTTGTTGTGTTTCCACACACAGCTGTATCTCCTGGTCCTGAATATTCATTAAAGAAACTATAGTTCTCAGCCCTCATGAAGCAACCATCAAGGAAAATGCGACCAGAATTGAAAGGGAAGCACTGAGGAAGAACCGTGCGTGCCTCAGCATAACATAACACACAGTCAAGTAATGAAAGATCTCCATAACACTGGGCCAGGCCATAGTTTGTGTCAGGTCCTGTCCCTACAATTGCTGTGCCAAAACCAGTTTTGCGCATCTCTTCACTGATCTTCTCCATAGTTGCAACAAAATTGGGAACAAAGATAGTTGTGTTATGCTCTAGTTGATGGCCACATGTTACAAGGACTGTCTTGGCCCTTGGTTCTGCCATTACAGTTTCTGATAGTAGTAGTAATAACAACTTGATGAGAGGGAAAACAAGGCATTGAGAAGAGATGAGAGAGACTACTTTCTTCATTTTTGGGATGATCCGATATGAATAACTTTTGCTAGTAGGATATTCACAAACAACTGTGGAAAAAAATAGGAGGGTTTAGATTCTTTGGGTGGCTGTGTCAAATAAAAAGGTCATTCAATGATATGTTTATATTGTTTATTGGGAAAGAATTTTTGTTAGTGATTCAAACCAAGTACGAAGTTTATCTATTTGGTCTAAAATAATTGCCTTTTATGCCTAAGCAAAAATGGTCACAACATGCTTCAAGCAACCATATGTGGTAATAATAATCCCCGAATAGTAATACCTATTGTTGGAGCTTGGAAGCCATCATTATAGCACAAAACGCCATTTGAAGACTTCACTATTCCTGAGAAGCACGGCCAGTTGAAGACCAAGAGGAGCTTCTGGCAGTAAAACATTCATTAAGTAATCTCTAATTTGTGAAGGAAGAGAGCAAGAACCCAAGTTGGAACTTAACTTTTTTGTTGCCATCCTTGAAGCTTAAAGGATGTACTACTACTCTGGCAATCGATATCATTATTGGAAAGGTAGATTTTGGTTCTTTTCCCTTGTTATTATACTTTATACAGCAGTGTAAAATTCAAGTTTCACACTTGCTCACACTTGTATGACGTATGAATGATGCTGAAAAATATCAAGTCGCAGACCATGTGTTTTAAAATATGAGGGGTTGAAGATTTGAAGCCACCCCATCCCAGACCCCACTTTAGTATTTATTGCCATTACTTCTCCGTCGTCCCTATTAATAGTGTATCAATGGCGTCTAAATCAGTTGTTAATAGTGTATCAATTGGCTTAGGTACTCATGTTATTTGCTTAGAAAAATAAGATATCAGTGAATTACCCAAGTAACACAGTCACCCACCTATAAGCATTAATTTATCATTATCACCCGGTAACCTGGTTGTGAGAGAAATACTCTCACCTTTTCAAAGTAAAATTCCTCTAAGGTTCTTCACATTAATTAAATATGTATTAAATACTTTAATTTAAGAAATATAATTATATTTAATTCAATTATAATCATAGAATAATTGACTCTAAAAAATTAGTTCATAAAAATACATTATTGGAATCTATATATAAAAAATCCTAACTATATTCTTAATCTAAGATTGAATTTATGTTCACAAATTTATAAATATAAATTTAGTGTAAAAATTATATAAATAACATTAAAATTAAAGTAAATGTGTATGCACTTGGTGTGTTTGGATAACTTATTTAGTCAAACATAATATTTTTTAAAATATAGCTTATGTCATAAATTTAATAATAAAATTTATTAAAATAATTTAAAGACAACTAGCCAAAACAACTTATAAAAATCATACATATTTTGTGTAAGCTCTTCCAAACTTTTGTTCGTTTATGTGACATCTTAAACGAAGTTTGTGAGTAAGGAGCAATTGGTGCCTGAATTGCCTTTCTATCTTGTCTGGTTATGAAAAAAGTTTCTAGAGGAAAAGTGGTTATATTGGATTAAAGCCTTTCCCCACAAACATACCTACCCACATTAATAATCCGTAGAGAATGGGCCCTACAAATACCCCACACATGGCACCTCCACTCTTGTTTTCGCCATAGAAACCAAACCATGATATATCACAATTCACAAGGTTACGAGAAAAAAGAAAATACAAGTGTGACATGATTAAGGTAAAGGTAAGTCAACAACGTTTGTGTATGCTTTTTGCTCAAGAATTAGATGTTGGTGACCGAGTTTGTTTTATGCTATAAATAAAAGATCAACTTTTGTTACATTCTGAAAGAGAAGAAGATAATGGGGCAGAGAGTTTTGGAGGAAGTTGTTACCTGTGTTCTGCAATGCATAGAAGAAAGAGAGAATTGAATTGAAGAGTGTGTGAGATGAATATGATGAATGGGATGGTGAAGATTTTATTGGGAGGAAGTCAAGAAGATGGAGACAAAACTGAAGCAACGAGTCAAACACGAATAATGTGGGAAGGTAAACAACTTGTAAGTTGAAAATTTGAAAAATTGAAGTGTTAGCGTTGCAGAGGATTCAATTCGTTGAAAAACAGAGCATGACAGCCACTATATCAGACACTGCATTGCCATGTCATGTAGCTACGCGGCAACAACGTATTCTTCAATCACAATCACACTTTACCCCATCAATATCCTCCAAATTTACAATCTTGCCCTGCTTTTTAAATGTTTCAATTTGTTAAACAAAAAGTTTAAGTGCTTTGTGCTTGGGATGAAATAGAAAATCAACAGAAAAATAATATATGAAAAATAAGATGAAAACAAATCTATTATTAGAATATTAGTATTTTCTAATTTAATTTATAATTTTGAGTATCTAAATAGAATTATGTTAAGAGAGATAGTTTTGTCATCTATAATAATTTTATTTTATTTAAATAAGATTATTTTCTAATAAAAAATACATACGATATAAATAAAAATAGAATAATAAAAAGCTTAATAAGATTCTTATATTGTTGGATTAGCATTGTATTTATAATATAACAAAATATATAAATATTGTTAATTAGTGTCTCTAAAATATTAGTTAAAAATAAATTTCAATCAAATTATAATAAAGAGATATTAATTATTTTTTAATAATAGTGTTTTTAATTTTTACTCATAATTTTAAAATATTGATTAATATTTGTCTGAAATACAAAGACAGAAAACAGTAGGAATTAAAAATATTGATTAATATTTTTACTCATAATCTTAATATTACTTCACTTTTATTTTTCTCCAATTGACTAAGGTTGTTGACATAAAATCAGTCGGAATTAAGGATTCGTCTTAATATAATTGGGTAGGATTGAGTTTGAAGATAAAATGTTGAAAAACGTAACACAACTCAAAGAAAATAGATAAATTAATGCTATATTTGAAAGGAGAATGAAATAAGTGGAGAAAAAAAAATAGAAACAAAGTCAAAATTATATTTTATTTGAATAGGTAAAAACAAGAGAGAAAGACAAACAAATTTTCTTCGTTCATTTAAATAAATAAGAAAAATTAAAAAATTATAATTATAATAATAATAATTTAGTTTAAATTTAATATTTTTTATTAATTTATATTATTTAAAAATTATTTAATATTAAAATAAAAGGAAAGCTGACACCCCAAACCCCTGTTCCTCATACAATAACATTTTACATGGATCCAGTAATTTTTTTTCTTTTTCTTATAAATGGACAAACCATTCTCTGTGTCTTTTTGTTTATACGGAAAAAAACAAAATTACTAAAATATGGTGATTTTGAAAAATTATAAAAATACGATATTTTTATAAAAAATTATCAATGATATTTTTATAAAAAATAATTAAATTTTTATTTTTTTTATAAAAAATTGTCACCAAATTTTGACATTTTATAATTTTTTAATATTTTTTATAATTCGTCACTAATAATTTTTTGAAACTTTAAAAATTGTTATTGTTCGATGAGCACCTGCATTAAAAATCATCATTGACAATTTTTAAAAATTATCTTTCTGTAATTTTTTTTCCAAAAACACCATATTTTAGTATAGTTTCTTATATAAATAAATAATCTTACTTTTTTTTTTCTCTTAATTTAAGGTTTATTAATTTTAAAATTAGATATAATTGACTTTGATATAATTAATTTGTAAAATGTATGTCTAAATTAATCTCAATAATAAATGTTCCGTGAAAATTTGTTTTTTTTATCAGAAAATATAAAAATTAAAAATTTAATGCCAAAATAATCAAACCTAATGAATCGCCTACTAAAATGATCTAGATGAGAGCAGCAATTATTCATTTCATGTATAGTATGAAAATGGATTCTAAGTAATTACTGCAAAATTAATAGAGATGGATATACTAGCACTTTGATATCCCTACCTCAGTCTATTTTAGTCTTAATGATGAGTATTAATTAATAGGAAATTTTAATTAGAAATAACAATATAGGCATATTAGAAATTGCAGTAAAAATGTGTTGTACATTCTTTATAAAAACATTTTATTTTTAATTCTTTAAACAAAATCTTAGAGACACTTCATACAATTTTTTAATACATTAAGAACAAAGATGAATCAATTACTTATTATCACGTTCAAAATCCCAACTCATTTTTTTTAAATAGATGATTTTTTTTATTAAATTTCATTATATTGTTGATTTTTTTTACTTAACAGTACTTTTATTTTATTAGTTTGATAGAAAGAAGGTTCATGAAGGTATATAAATATTTATATATAGATTAACTACTCAAACTTTATAGTTAAATAATATATATTTTTCCTACAGTATTATTATCACATATGAATCTGGGAATTCTTTTTCTACACCAAGAGTATGTAATACACATGTTTTGAGCCAAGCTCAACTGGCAATTTTTTTATTCAATCCGAATAAAAACGAAAAACCAATATAGGATAAGCTTATGAAGCACCTAACTACGCATGTAATATGTACAAGGCATGCAATCTCATAACTCGAATAATTTTCTCCAGCATGCTGTGTTTCTTGAGATATAGATTTATATTGTAACCCATTTATGCTCGATTAGACTTTCGGTCATGCTGTCCCCTGAAGACTTGTATATCGTAAAGTAGATTTGCTGAATTCTTCACTACCACAATTGAGAAACGGTGGTTGTGTTGGCTGAGTAATTTCATGATTGTTAGTAATCATTTTCACAACTACTGACATTGTTGGTCGAAGTTCTGAAGATGCTTGTGCACAAAGCAACCCTATTTTAAGGAGTTTGCATGCTTCCTCAATTGGATAATTTCCCTCTAGAATTGGATCGACAATGTCACATAGCTTATTTGATACATAAAGGCCCCAGACCTTTATACAAAAGGAGAAATGAAAAGTCTTAGGTGTATCAAAACACTTTGTTTTCTTAAAAGCACAAAATGAATTGATAGCAGTGTGCCAAATGATAAGAGTGTTACCGTATGTAGGATGGAGTATGAGTTTTGAACGAAGGATCTACTCCTTTTGCCTGATATAATTTCCATGACTAGAACTCCAAAACTGGAGACATCTACTTTCTCAGTTAACTTTCCAAGAACTGCATATTCTGGAGCCATATAACCCGTACAAGTGGACATGAAATAAATTGTAAGAGAATACTGTTCAAATAGTATATCAAGTTACTATGTGATGAAAATGTATAGTATTCTCATGATACCCTATTAAAAGAATAGGTTTTAATTCACTCCCAAAAGTTAGTATATAGGAAGAGCACTTAAGTCTTATAAAGAGTATTCTAACTATATAGTTGATGTACAAAATACAGAAGTCATTATCAACCATAAAAGTGAAAGATTGGAGGGTGATAGCACCTCTGTTGGCTACATTTTTTCAAAGAATTTCATCCATTCTGCATTTCAATATGGAATTATATAAAAAAAAGATTTCTTCTTCTTCTTCCCCTATGATTAATCTTGTTGGAATAGCATTTATTTATGTAAATTATTTGCATTATATTGTGGAGGATTATGAACTTACAGTGTGCCACAAATGGCTGTGCTAAGGTGAGACTTGTCTTCTGGAAATAATCTAGCAAGTCCAAAATCAGCAATCTTGGGTGTGAAGTTATCATCAAGCAGAATGTTGCTTAATTTTATATCTCTATGAATGATTCTTTGTGATTCCTCATGAAGATAGGCCAAGCCCTCTGCTGTTTCCAATATGATTTTATGCCTAACTCCCCATGTCAACTGTTGAGAATTCCTTCTGCCTGTAAGAGATAAAATGACACATCAATAACTAATTTAAATTACAAGGTCATGTGATTAAGACCATATATAAGATATAAAATTACAACCAGATAGGTGATCATAAAGGCTATTGTTAGGCACAAATTCATAAACAAGAAGGCTTTCAGGTCCTGTAATGCTGCAACCTAAAAGCTTCACCAGATTTTTGTGATGAATGCCACTAATCAAATTGACCTCATTGAAAAAATGATCGGCCCATTGTGATGTGTTAAAGCTAAGCCTTTTTATAGCCACGGTTCTTCCATCAGGCAGAGCTCCCTATGATTGATATGAGAGCACACCATTAGTTCATCTTAATTTACGGGTAAAAAAAACAATGATAGATGAGATCCGAAGTTACTTTATAAACTGAACCTGATCCTCCTTCTCCTAGCTTATTAGAATCATTGAAGTAATTTGTGGCTTTTTCAAGAATGTCATATGACATATTTAGTTTAGACTTGTTCACTGTGTCCAAAAGTGCACCAAACTGTCTTCTCTCTGAGGTAAAAACAACACTATAATTAATATCAGCACTTGAAGCTAAAACAATCTTTAGTATTTCCAAATATCACACACATAGATAGATACCTCTCTTCCGCTTCAGGACGTTTGTCCATACAAAGAAAATAACTATGGCAACAACCAGCAGATGAGCCACTGCAGCATATGATGCAGCCACAATTATACCAAGATTTCTACTTCCTAACACAGTAACGGTGTAACACATGGCTTTATTAGCACAATTTCTAAGATCTTTGCTTTGAATTGTTAATAAATGAAAGAAACTAAATACCATAACAAAAAAAAAAAACATGGATCAAATGTGGACCTGAAATTACTAATTCAAAGCACGAAAAACTTTACCAAAGCAAAGAGAAAAGTGAAATTTCCTAACAGTGGCACCAACTCACCTTGATTCACTTGAGGGGAAATGTTGTTTGAATGATTATAGAACACGTGTGTCGAATACCTCAAGTAACATCCAGCATGCAATACCCTTCCTTCTTCTTTTGAAGCACATGAATCAATCCTAGTAACAGCATTAGCCAAACAGTTTTGACAGGCTCTGCCATTCACAAACTTCCAGCATTGAGCCAACCCATAAACAGTAACATTCCTTAGACTCACATACCCCACAAAGAACCCATCATTCTTTGGTGCTTCCAAGCTCAAACTTCTCACTAGCTCCTCAGTATTGGCCTTATAAACACTCCAATTCCCACTAAACTCTTTGGCACCACACACAGTCATGTCTTGAGGACTAAGACTCTCATTGAAGAAGTTGTATCCATCATACCTAAGATAGTGTTGAAAAGTCAAAAATGGTGTGCAAATTTTTCGGTACCTAACATTCGGTTGAATGTTAGCGTTGTCGGTGCCAAACGCGTTGCGAATTCGGTGCCAACGTGTTTTGTTGAAAATCAAACGTTTCATTTGCCTATAAATACGAAGCTCTTCCATCCATTCTATGTATCCCATTTCTGAGAGAACAACTGAAAATATTCAGAGAGCAAAAACAGAGAAAATAGTTTAGCTTCTGATACAATTGGGTTACGGGTTGTGAATGGTTGTAAGTCATTTTTGAGTGTTTTGTAAACACTGAGTATATTCCCTTTTCAGTAATATATCTGCAGCAGTCCGGAGACGTAGGCATTATTGGCCGAACTCCGTTATCAATTTTGTGTGTGCAATATTCCACATTTATTTTTCACTTCCACAAATCTGACATTACAAGAAAATTCGGCGTAATTTTCCCAACAACTGGTATCAGAGCCAGGTTGTTAATTCTGCAATTTTTGTGGTGTTACTATTCATATGAATAGTAAAGTACTATTCTGTGAATAGTGAAAAACGTGAATAGTGCAAATTTTGTCGGCGCTACAAATTTGTCTATAGACGTGTTTTGAAACACGGTAGTTCACAGAAATTGTCAGAAACGATCCAGCGGAGAAGTCATATCAGAGTTGAAGTGATGGCTGCAGATGAAGGAAAGGTGAAAATTGAAAAGTTCAATGGTACAGACTTTGGCTTTTGGAAGATGCAGATCGAGGATTATCTGTATCAAAAAAAGCTGTATCAACCTCTCACAGGAACAAAGCCAGAGGGCATGAAAGAGGACGAATGGAATCTTCTAGATAGACAAGCCCTTGGAGTCATCCGATTGACGTTATCCCGTAATGTTGCTTTCAACATTGAAAAAGAAAAGACCACGACGGATCTTATGAAGGCTCTTTCCGACATGTATGAAAAGCCGTCTGCTTCAAATAAAGTTTATTTGATGAAGCGGTTATTCAACCTTCGGATGACAGAAGGCGCATCAGTAGCGCACCACATAAATGAGCTCAATACAGTCCTAACCCAATTGAGTTCAGTTGAGATTGAATTTGATGATCAGGTACGAGCATTGGCACTTTTGTCCTCTCTACTAGAAAGTTGGAAGACTACTGTCACAGCTGTGAGTAGTTCGACGGGAGACACTAAGTTGAAATTCAATGACGTTCGTGATCTGATTCTCAATGAAGAAATCTGACGAAGAGAGTCAGGAGAATCATCAACCTCTTCAGTATTGCATACAGAGTCAAGAGGAAGAAATTCAATCAGAGGAAATGGACGTGGTAAATCAAAGGACAGGAAGTCCAAATCTAGAAGTCATCATAGTTCCCACAAATCGAAGGCAATCGAGTGTTGGAATTGTGGGAAATCCGGGCACTACAAAAATCAGTGCAGGAGTGCACCGAAGAATAAGGAGGCAAAAGACGAGGCAAATGTTGCTTCCACCTCTGGAAGAGATGATGCGTTGATATGTTCTTTAGAGAGCAAGGAAGAGTCTTGGGTGTTAGACTCTGGAGCATCTTTTCATGCCACTTCGCAGAGAGAATTCTTCAAGAACTATGTTCCCGGAAACCTTGGTAAAGTTTACCTTGGTAACGACCAATCATGTGAGATTGTGGGTAAAGGTGTAGTGAAGGTTAAGTTGAACGGGTCTGTATGGGAATTGAAAAATGTCAAACATATTCCCGACCTGACAAAGAACTTAATCTCAGTAAGCCAGTTGGCCAGTGAAGGCTACACAACAGTCTTCCACGGTGATAACTAGAAGATTTCAAAGGGTGCAATGGTAATTGCTCGTGGCAAAAAGAGTGGTACTCTTTATAAGACAGCAGGAGCATGTCATCTGATTGCAGTTGCAGCAAATGAAAATCCCAATCTATGGCACCAGAGACTAGGCCATATGAGTGAGAAAGGGATGAAAATCATGCACTCAAACGGTAAGCTACCAGGTCTTCAGTCAGTAGAAATTGACATGTGTGAAGACTGTATACTTGGAAAACAAAAACGAGTCAGCTTTCAGACAAGTGGAAGAACCCCAAAGAAGGAAAGACTCGAGCTTGTTCACTCTGATGTTTGGGGTCCAACATCTGTTCCATCCATTAGTGGGAAGCAATACTTTGTGACTTTTATCGATGATCACTCCAGAAAGGTATGGGTATACTTTCTGAAATATAAGTCTGAAGTATTTGAGGCTTTCAAGATTTGGAAAGCTATGGTAGAAAATGAAACAGGATTGAAGATTAAAAAGATCAGAACCGACAATGGTGGTGAATATGAAGACACCAGATTCAAGAAGTTTTGCTATGAGCACGGGATCAGAATGGAAAGGACCGTGCCAGGTACGCCTCAACACAATGGTGTAGCTGAGCGTATGAATCGAACGTTGACTGAAAGAGCCAGAAGCTTGCGTGTGCAGTCAGGCTTACCAAAGCAGTTCTGGGCAGAAGCAGTCAACACAGCAGCTTACTTGATCAACCGAGGTCCATCGGTACCATTGGAGCACAAAATACCAGAAGAGGTATGGAGTGGAAAAGAGGTAAAACTCTCACATCTTAGAGTTTTTGGCTGTGTAGCATATGTGCACATTAATGATCAAGGCAGGAGTAAGCTTGATCCCAAATCAAAGAAGTGCACTTTCATCGGTTATGGTGAAGATGAGTTTGGCTACCGCCTATGGGATGATGAAAACAAAAAGATGATCCGTAGCAGAGATGTAATCTTCAATGAAAGAGTGATGTACAAGGACAAGCATAGTATAAGCGCCAACAATGCAGAACAGATTGAGCCAGTGTATGCAGAAGTGGATGATGTCCTAGGAAATCCTATAGTTGAGAATCCTCAGTCAGAGGAATCAACTGAAGAGAACAGTGAGCAGCAGTCTGACACATCAGAGGCTCCTATTTCAACTCCTGTATTGAGAAGGTCTTCTCGACCTCATGTGCCTAACAGGAGATACATGAACTACATGTTGTTGACTGATGGAGGGGAGCCTGAAGATTATATGGAAGCTTGTCAGACCACAGATGCTAGTAAGTGGGAGCTTGCCATGAAAGATGAGATGAAGTCTTTAATCTCCAATCAGACATGGGAACTAGTCAAGTTACCTATGGGAAAGAAAGCGCTTCACAACAAATGGGTGTATCGAGTGAAGGAAGACCATGATGGTTCCAGGAGATACAAAGCCAGACTGGTTGTCAAAGGATTTTAGCAGAAAGAAGGAGTTGACTACACTGAGATCTTTGCTCCAGTTGTAAAGCTCAATACTATCAGGACTGTGTTAAGTATTGTGGCTAGTGAAGAGCTCTACCTAGAGCAATTAGACGTGAAGACTGCATTTCTTCACGGAGACCTAGATGAGGAGATCTACATGCACCAACCTGAAGGTTTTTCAGAAGAAAAGAAGGATATGGTGTGCAAATTAAAAAAGAGCTTATACGGCCTGAAACAAGCTCCTAGACAGTGGTATAGGAAGTTCGAAAGCTTTATGCACAAGGAAGGTTTCCAGAAGTGCAATGCTGATCACTGTTGTTTCTTCAAGAGGTATAAGTCCAGTTATATCATATTGCTACTTTATGTTGATGACATGTTAGTAGCAGGATCAGATATGAAAGACATCAGAAATTTAAAGATGCAGTTGTCAAAAGAATTTGACATGAAGGACTTAGGCCCAGCAAAGAAGATTCTTGGAATGCAAATCACGAGAGATAAGCAAAAAGGAGTTTTGCAGTTATCTCAGGCGGAGTACATCAACCGTGTTTTGCACAGATTCAACATGGATAAGGCCAAGCCAGTCAGTACACCTTTGGTCAGTCATTTTCGTCTATCCAAGGATCAGTCTTCTCAAACAAAGGAAGAAGAAGAGTTTATGGCTAAGATTCCTTATGCTTCAGCCATTGAAAGTTTGATGTACGCAATGGTCTGTACGAGGCCAGACATTGGCCATGCAGTAGGAGTTGTAAGCAGGTTTATGGCAAATCCAGGAAAAGCTCATTGGGAAGCAGTCAAGTGGATTTTGAGGTATCTACAAGGCACAACAAAGAAGTGTTTGTACTTTGGAAAAGGAGAATTAAAAGTACAAGGCTATGTAGATGCAGACTTCGGAGGTGAAGTCGATCACCGAAGAAGTACCACCGGTTACATTTTTATTGTTGGTACTACAGCTGTCAGTTGGATGTCGCGGATACAGAAGATTGTTGCTTTATCTACTACAGAAGCTGAGTATGTAGCAGTAACAGAAGCCAGTAAAGAGTTGATATGGCTTCAAGGTTTGTTAACAGAGCTGGGATTCATGCAAGAGAGGAGTGTTTTGCACAGTGACAGTCAGAGTGCAATACATCTGGCAAAAAATTCAGCATTTCACTCTAGAACCAAGCACATTGATATACGTTATCACTTCATCAGATCTCTGCTTGAGGATGAGGTGCTGACATTGAAAAAGATTGTAGGAAGCAAGAACCCAGCAGACATGCTAACAAAGGTGGTGACAATTGACAAACTGAAGTTGTGTTCAACTTCAGTGGGCCTGCTAGAATAACAGATCATGAAAAGATTGCTGCATTGATTGAAGTGTGAAGACCGATTGAAATCAGTCTTCAAGTGGGAGATTGTTGAAAAGTCAAAAATGGTGTGCAAATTTTTCGGTACCTAACATTCGGTTGAATGTTAGCGTTGTCGGTGCCAAATGCGTTGCGAATTCGGTGCCAACGTGTTTTGTTGAAAATCAAACGTTTCATTTGCCTATAAATACGAAGCTCTTCCATCCATTCTATGTATCCCATTTCTGAGAGAACAACTGAAAATATTCAGAGAGCAAAAACAGAGAAAATAGTTTAGCTTCTGATACAATTGGGTTACGGGTTGTGAATGGTTGTAAGTCATTTTTGAGTGTTTTGTAAACACTGAATGTATTCCCTTTTCAGTAATATATCTGCAGCAGTCCGGAGACGTAGGCATTATTGGCCGAACTCCGTTATCAATTTTGTGTGTGCAATATTCCACATTTATTTTTCACTTCCACAAATCTGACATTACAAGAAAATTCGGCGTAATTTTTCCAACAGATAGCACCCATCAAAGAAGAGCTTGCCACCACAAATGCCTCTCTGAAATGGAGAACACTTAAGAACACGTGTCTTGCACTGTGCAAAGCATACATCACAATCAGGTTTGGAAAGATCTTTCATGCACTCACCAAAAGCATAAACAGTGACATTTTGAGAAGACCCTTTTACAACAACTGCATATCTTTGCCTTGTAACAAGAGCGGTTAAGGCTTCCAAGGCATTGTAAAAGTTTGTTAAGAAAACATGTTGCTGAGGCATTGGAGTAGTTCTGTTGGTGCACAGCACTGCAGCTTCTGTGGCTCTTGGATCAGCAAGAGAAGGAAGTGTGCAGTAACAAAGGAAGATAAGCAAAAACGTCGGAAGAGACATTGAAATCTTGAATTTGGAATAACTTTAGCTGTTTTTCTGTTGATGGCAGATATGCAAGAAATGGTGTTTGAAATGCGAGGAAATATGTCCAACATAGAATATTGTGTGAACAACAAAATGAAGGAAAGTGAAGTGTGGATGATAGAATGTTGCAATGCATTTCATGATGATAAGGTTGCAATTTCCCAGAAGGAAGCAACCGAGTGAGCAACATTGAGGTCAAATTTTGAGGCTTACGTGTGTTCTGTACTAATAATATTACCTGTAACAATGTTGTTTTCATATTTATTTTTGTAAAACTTTGCTTTCTAACATGTGAATGCATTTTATTACAACATCAATAGAAAGTAAGGTCTATAATTACACTTTATCTTCTAAAGTGCTAAAGTGTATCCCTTATTCAATCATAAAATTAACACTATTTATAATAAAAATAAGTTAAATTGGTTACACTATTAATTGGCTATATCTATTTTTTAATATTATTTTATTTAATTGTAAATTTAACTCTGTTTATAATTAAATTCTCCGTAGTTTAATCTCCAATTATAAAGTTGTTTACTTGGTTTGAGCAGTTATGAACAGTAGGCTAAGAAATCTGGATCCAGAGTACAGAATTTTGGGGATGATCAATTTTTTTTTTCATAACCTTGTTTAGTTAGGAGAAAGTTAATGGAAAGGATCACCAATAAATAATAATAATAATAACTTAAAATAAAAAAAGAAAAAAATATTGTTTAGAAATAATTGCACCAAATGAATTATAATACACACAAATGCTTGTTGATGCCAATCATAAGAAACTTGGGTTTCCTTTAAGAGATATATGAGATTTGCGTGAGAAATAATAAAAATAAAAATAAATGTGAGTCTAATAAAATCTATTGATCTTAGTTATTTAATAAATAAATGACTTAAAAAAACTATAACTTCACGCATAAGATTTTACCATCATTTGTCAAGCTCTACCTCTTAGGTATGATAACTTAAAAAAAAATGAAAACAAAATTGCTATTTAGTACGGAATATTTCATTCATATTTCTTTGAAATAAAAATGAATCAATGTCCGTAGTTTATAGATTTAAGTTACAATCTAGTATTATATGAATGACTCATTCTTTAGTACACGATTAGTCAAAATGTTTTTAATTTTATCTTTATTTTTGTACCATTTACCATTGCTAGAAAAAAAACTGCCTAGAAACTCAACTGTGTCTCCAACAACTGGGAAACAAGCACAAGACTTCTTGGTGAATAAAAAGCATGCACAAAAGTTTGTTTCTTTTACAATATTTGTTTTTAAGTTTTGAATGGATAACAAAATATAGAGGTATCTTTCATGCTTTGAAATTGCAGTGCAAACGAAGTCCCATAATTAATTCTACGAAATGCCTTGGATGTTTCTCCACTCTTACATGACCATGTTACATCCTTCCACAGACTCCATTTTTATGATTGTCACAGAATTTTTCTTCATATATTAGCAATAACAAGAAATTGATGTTCAAGACCAAGAGCGTTACCTTATTATATTGCTTCTTCTTAAATCGCAATCTATCGTTTTCTTTATATATTACCTTCTGATCTGGCTTTGAATTCTTCAACAACTTCACACGCTTTTATTTGCCGAATAAACTATAGCATTTGTTTATTGTCAACAATAAAGTGTAGCATGAAAGAGCAAAGGTATAGTGGCATTGACTGGTCCCATTATGCCGAGTCCGCATGCTAGAACAAGACAAACACACAGCTCGTAGCTGGACTCTCTTTTCGGCCCATACAACTCAGTGTGGCTCCATTTTAGGTTCACTCTACAACTTAAGCTAGAAAGTGAAAACCTCCCCTGTTTCTAATCACTCTGAATAAGTATAAACCACCTTCTCATTCGTATAATCAACATGGGGCAGGATTTTCGGTCAAAATCTTCTCCTTATGAGAGTGTAAATCTAAAAATTCTTATACTAAATTTAAACTTTTTATTTAATTTATGTGAGTTATAATTTATTATTTTGCTGATAGTTAAATATAAATTAAATAAAAAGTTTAAAATTAAATGGAATAATTTTTAAACTTATTCTGTATTTAGGTTAGACTTGAGAGGCACTTACTTTCTGCGCAACCAGATCTACAATTTTCCTACCTAGTAAGCCTCACCACAATTTATGTGACAAGTATTAATCAATAATTTTAACATGGGCTGGGGGAGATGTTACACAATTAATGAAGTGGGTATATTAATTTGAAAAAATAATTAACTGAGACTTCAAGGGCTTTTGGATAGGTAATTAACTATACTAAGATGCAACGTCTCGTTAACAATTATAATATTATGTACAACCAATTTATGTTGAGATGTGCGTAATACGTTAATTTTCTATATTATTGATGATAAAATAATGCTTTTAATAGGGAGTGCTTTAGTGGCACACTCTTATTTGTCTACAACATAAAACCTTAGGAACGCCTGAACCGGGTTGAACTTCTTTTGTGATACTTTCTGTTCATAATAGAGGGAAGATAAGGGTTTTATTTTTAGTAGGTTAGTGACCCGGTTACATTATCCAACCAATAATTATTCAAATGATTACATTATCCTTATCAAGCTTATAATTATGACCAAATGGTTCGATTAGGGAAAAGGAGGGCCTATGCGAAAACAACAAAGCAAACCTATCCTATGAAACTACTTTTTTCATCCACTGCCCACTTAAATAAATAAAGGACTATGATGCTATATCATGAAATTGTAACAAAAAATGATTATGCCACCAATGATTAACCACAGAAAAATGGTGAGTATAGAAAAAAAAAAAAAAAAGGTTTCTTTATGTCACAAGATGGGTTTGTTTTTGTGCACTCTTCTCATTAAATTACTACTTTATCATTAATAGCATGCGGGGAATATTTGTTTGATCATTCCATGCATTGAAAAGGAGAAAATATAATTCTACTTAGTAATAGATCGTTAACCTACGTACTAATACTAGTCATAGGCAGAGTTTTAGATATATCAAGTGTAAGATATTCTCTTATGCTGGCATTTAATTTTTAAAATCTCCTAGCCACTAAGTATCCATTGGTTGATTATATGATAATCAACACTAAACAAGTTAAATTCTTGTATATGCGTGTACAAATCTGTATATTGACTGCCTTATGTTTGACAAAGGTTCTTTTTGGTAATTTGTTTAGGCAAATGGAAAGTTACAATATTTTCATTCAGAATCATGTTAATCAGTATCTTTATGACAATGGTTAGCATTTTTGTTTTATTTTTAGTTCTTATGAGTTTCTCAAAGTATTCGTTTCACCCGAAAGGTAAAAGATTAATCTACTGAGATATGATTACACACTGAAGTAAAAATCTTTCAATAATAATTTTTTCACACACATAAATCTTTGACATCAAATCTGAAACTATTTGCTCAAGGAATTTCACCTTTTCTAATAAGTCCAACACATCTTGGTGGTCATTATCATGAATTCACAAGAAAGGTTTATATTAAAATAAATTCTTAACACTATTTTTTTAAGGCTCGTTTATATTATTAATAATTAGTAGAGAATTGAAAAGAGAGGTTTATATTAAAATAAATTCTTAACATTATTTTTTTAAGGCTCGTTTATATTATTAATAATTAGTAGAGAATTGAAAAGAGAGCAAGTGAAAACACTCATTCTGTTTTCGGTAAGACAAACTGTCATTTGTTATTGACATGCCAAATGGATCAGATTTGGGTACCATTTTCCTGTCTACACATCTGAATATATATGATGAAAATAGTAAAAGTAAAATTCTCTCTTTAAACGATAATTCTTTCGCTCTTAATTACATTTCTCTTGACTGAATTATTAATTATTCAATTGGAGGGACATGGATGGTGATAGGAAAAGGGGATAAATAAACCAAATTTCTTGACTTACTTAAAGATGGCAAAGTCATCTTTGCCATGCCCTATGGAGATTTATTGTCATCCATATTTTTAACAGGTAAGAAGAATATTCAGTGCATAGGGACAACCATAAAAATAATAAATAATTAAAGTTCAGCACCTCACTGAAAGTAAGCATGTAAACAGAAAGCATAACCATAAACAAATATGAATTTTGCAAAGTACACAGCCCATCTCAAACTTATGGGAATCTTCATATTATGTTACAAGTTAATGGACCTAATCTTGAGTATTAGTGATTTAACAACTTTATTAAAAGCTCACCCCTAAAAATAATAAAACCAACACTGTTTCCACAATAAAAACTGTCTATAACTACCACACTACTTCCCTGTGTGAAGTACAATACCACCTCAAAGTTCCTAGAATTCTTGTTGCCATTGTTGTTTTCTAAAATTGACAAACAAGAAGCACTGTGAAGGAATGAAGAGGAATACAAGTTTTTCTTTACCCTTTTTCATGTTCTTGTTGATGATTGTCTTTGTCACCTTCTCTATAATTTCTGCAGAGGCAAGGAAGACAAACATCAAGAAAAAGCTTCATAAACGTCACAAAGATAATCATAGTAGCAATGGCCACACTCGAGGAGGGTCACATCCTCCATGTCCAGCACCAGCTCCTCTTCCTCATTATGGTCCTCAAGGGAAAACTTTTGACATTTTGTCTTTTGGCGCCAAGGGAAATGGAATTGTTGATGATTCAGAGGTAAATTAAGGGTAAAAGCATATTAATAATTTAAAGACAAAGTGCGTTTGATTTGCTAGTTATAACATTGTTGATAATGTTCATAAATCAGGCACTTCTAGCTGCATGGAAAGGTGCATGCAACGTTCCTGGAGCTACAGTTAAAATTCCAGCACAATTCAAGTTTCTTATCAAGCCCATTACTTTACAAGGCCCTTGTATGCCTGACCTTACTCTTCAGGTTCTTTTTCACTTCTCTCTTTCTTTGATTATTTATTTTATGTTAGTCTCAAAATAATAGTTTACAAGAGCTGTAGAATATATAAAGTATAACCTGTTTTGGCATGGCACAATGTATAGGTAAACACACACTTAAGCTTTTATGTTGCATTTTGGAAGTTATTTGCTTAACAATGAAATATGAAGTTAGTACAAATTAAATTCTTACAGATAGATGGAACTCTATTGGCACTTCCTGAAGCATCTTCCTGGCCGAAATCCAGCTTGTTTCAGTGGATAAATTTCAAGTGGGTGCAGAATTTCACCATCAAAGGCTCTGGCATTGTTAATGGCCAAGGCTATAACTGGTGGAGATCCTCAGAATTGTATGATATGCAGGTAAATTTATTATGTGTGTGTGTGAGAAAGTTAATAGAAATTTTATGCACAAAAAAACTCACTTTGTATTTATGAATTCTTGCAGAAGAGTTACTCTAAACAAAGTTCAGGCATGAAGCCAACTGTAAGATTTTGTTTTTTCTCCTGACAGTATAACATAATAATTTCTAACCTGTGCAATAATACACATAATAAAAATTTATACACATTAATTTTTTATTAAAAAAATATAAAATTTAATATAATTCAATATTAGATGTTATTAAATGATATAATTTTCAACAAAATTTTATTGGATATTAATTTCTTATTATGTATAGTTTTACACCGATTAGAAAAATAATCATTTATATCTGTTTCTCATTTAGTCTTGTTTGGCGTTTATTATATCAGGCTATAAGATTCTACTCCAGCAACCTTGTAACAGTTCGTGATATTAGAATCATAAACAGCCCTCTGTGCCATCTAAAATTTGACAACTCAAAGGGGATTAAAGTTAATAACATTACAATATCATCCCCAGAGAATAGCCCAAACACTGATGGCATTCACTTACAAAACACACATGACGTAGAAATTCAACGTTCTGATATTGGAACAGGTAAGGGATCAATTAATTTAATATATGTTCGGTGACTGGACATTCCATTTCTACTTTACCAAGTAGAATCTCGTAAATTGTTAAATAATGGCCAGTATGGTGCATTGCCCACTTAGACTTGTTGAACCTAAAAAGTGACTATTTTTACAAAGAATGATTGGCTGAGAGACACTTTTCAAGTTTAAACGGTAAACTGTCACCTGCAACTAACTTTTGAAACGTGCAGCTTATAAAATTATAGCAACAGCTGAACTAACTTTAACTTTTGTAACACTGCATAATAGGTGTCCAACTGAAACCAGACTACATAGTACCTATATTAAATTTTATATATAATATTGACACTTGTGTGTATTTTATATCATCAGGAGATGACTGTGTATCCATACAAACCGGTTGCTCTAATATTCATGTCCACCACATTAATTGTGGCCCTGGACATGGTATAAGGTAAGAAAAAGGATATCATATATACACCCTAGCTAGTACAAGTTGTCATCCTCATTGTGATTGTGAGCAAGCCACTAACTATCATACATTTAATTTTCTAAATATAGTGTAGGAGGATTAGGAAAAGACAAGAGTGTGGCATGTGTCTCTGACATCATTGTTGAGGACATTTCAATGAAAAACACTTTATATGGAGCAAGGATAAAAACATGGCAGGTATAATATAATTATATCTAGATTACTTGTGCAATTAAACTTGGTATAATAAAGTCTTGTTATTGACATTAATTTGAGTTTTTTTTGTTCAATGTGAAATAGGGAGGCATTGGTATGGTTAAAAATGTGTCATTTTCCAGAATTCAAGTCTATGATGTTATGTCTCCAATAATGATAGACCAATACTATTGTGACAAGCAAAACTGCAAGAACCAGACAGGAACTGTGGTGATTTCTGGAGTTAAGTTTGATCAAATAAGTGGGACTTATGCAATGCAACCTATCCATCTAGCTTGCAGCAATTTCATACCCTGCACAGATGTTGATTTAATAGATATTCAACTGAGACCCTCCCTCAAAAATCAAGGTTTGCAACAAGCTGTGTGCTGGAACTCTTATGGAAAATCACAAGGTCCCTTGGTGCCTTCAAGCATTGATTATTGCTTGAGAAGTGGTGGTGGATTAATCAAGAGGATAGCAAGGTCCCGTGATAAAGTATGTTACTAATTACAAGTGTGAGCCTTAATTCGTTTTAATTTGCATCTTATGGCAGCTTCCCTTCTACAAATATTTTTTAATTGTGGGAAGGTGATGTTGTAATTTAGTTCATTTTATCTATTGGAATCTACTCGTAGACATTTGTTTATTTGGACTTCTCCTGATTGTCGGCTATTGAGGAAAGAGACAAAAATATTTTTCTTTCTTCTTTTGGGTCAACGAAAATCTATTTCTTTAAAATGGAAAAAGATGCCAAATATAAGATGATGATAAAAAAAAAAGGGGTTATGGAAGGCGCGACCGTTTATTTTATAATTCGAGACATGGAATGTTTAAAACAGTTTCTTTTTCCAAAGAACGCAATTTTTTTCAAATTAAACTTAACTGAACTGTCCAAAAAGTACAGTGATCATAAGGAAAACATTCTAAACTGTCTTCAAGGATATGCAATCAAAAGCATGTGAAGTTCATGCAAGTGACTATCTTTGTAGGATTACTCCCCTAAACAGTGAAAACCAGAGTGGGATTTCATTATTATTGCAAAATTGGAAGCAAAGAATTTTATAAAACTTTAAAAAAATTTGTCCTAACTGTTTACTTCTTATTTAAAAAATCGAAAGCTTACAGAATCAACCTAAAATTATTTTGTAATAAATTACTATTTAAATTAATTAAATAAGCCCTAAAACACAATCAAACACCTCTTAAAACTCCGTTATTGCATCAAGAGAGAGAAAGACACGAATTATACAGGAGTTTCCTTCCGTCTCCTACAGCAGCTTCATGTAACATTTACTGATAAATTACATAACTTTTTATAAATATAAAATGATAAATCTAACCGTTGAATTATTTTATCTTTATAAGTATTAAATTTCATAAAATTTACACATTTATAAGTATATTATTTAAAATTTAATATTTTATTATATTTTAAAAAATATTAATATTTTCTTTTAAATAAAGTGCTAGTCAATAAAAAATTATATACTAGATCAAAACTCAATTTATATTTTAATTGATAAAATTTTATTTATTTGCTAACTAAAAAATTAAAATATTATTTATTTAAAAAAATAAAAAATCAAAATATATTCACAAATTTATTTTATAATTAATAATTTTTTTTACTTTCAAATTAGTCCAAACTAAATCGCCAAAATTCTTATTTACGAGTATCCAATATATTCATTCATATGGGCCCGTAGGACTACCCTTTCATAAACGGACCATGTAGTGTTTTATAATGGACCTCAGTTTCTACAGCCTGGCAAAGAAATTGTTTACGTCTTGTTGGATTTTTTCCAAGGCCCAATAATGGAGAAAAATTAGATAGTACTTCCTCAGGGATTCTTTTCTGTTAAACCTTCAAATAGAAGTGTTTACGAGTTGTCTCATTCCAGTAAATTTACTTAATTTAAGGTTAGTTTTGATAAGTTTGAGTATTAAAAATTAGATCGATATATTTTGAAGATAAGCTGAGGTTGTGTTTTGGGTTGTTTCAATATGATCCAATATCTTTTATTCTTTTAGTATTTATACTGTACAAAAAAATTATGTATTAATAATAAGACTTTAAAATTTTATAGATAATACTTTTTAAATATTGATATTATTTATCTTAAAATATATACTATAATGTATATCTTAATTTCAACTTTACACATCATTAATTCTAATTTTTTGTTGTTAAGCTTGAAAAGCCCATTAATTCTATAATTTAATTATACATAATATAGATATTAATATATTTTCTTTACAAATTGGGTTGAATTGATCTTATTTAAATATTATCGGGTCTTTGATCAGGTTAGATTTAGACATAGAAAAATGCTTGTATCAAAATTTCGAATGGAATGAAAAAAAGGATAAACCCTTTTCAACCCGTCCCATATATACCACCATCTTCTTTCCAACTCAAGCATTGAAGGTTCTTTAGAGAGCAAAGAGCAATTTTATTTCCAACGTTTCTGAACACCTTTCTGCAAAGAACAATTTTACATCCATGCACATGTGCAGGGATGGATTAAACACATGATTTATCATAATTATTTGTCCCCGTAACGATCAATTTGAAGACCTTCCCATTTAAATTATGTAAATGGTTGGAGCAACATCATAATGATGTAGATGATGATGTATTACAGTATTAAAGAGGCTGGCCCAAGAGATGATGCTAGCATGCAATACATGCACTACGAGTAAACAAAATCGGCAATGAAACATGGTTTATAGAAACGCTCTTTTGTACCTACGAGACGTTGATAACATTTTTCAATCGTCATGTTTCTTTGCATCCTTTTAGGATTTACATCTATATATTTTCGTTTCGAACTTGGAAAGCTGGTCATGCCCTTTAAACTTCAGACAAAATCATTGCCTAACAGCACTGTTCCATGCTTGAAAACCTTAATATATTTCTATTTGGCCCCATTTCATGAATCTTTTTGCTTTTAAATACTACACGCACACACATACAGAGGATATGTTATCGAATTAACCTTACTTTAGAGGGGGGGTTCATCATTTAAATCTAGGCACCTACCATTGTTTCTCATGATTCTAATATCTTCTTTTTATAAAACTACTTTATTAATATTCCAATTTTTAAACAGAAAAATTCTGAAGCTAGATGCCTTAACTTGATGCTATTCTAGCATGGAATATAATTTGCTGGGAAAGAGATGGGGAACATGGAATTAATTAAATGTTGTAGTTACTTCCATGTAAAAGATATACACTATGCTGTATATTCTTGGTTCAATATGCTTTGTGACTTGCTTGTTAGCTTAGAATATGGAAGAAAATGCTGAACTTTCTTGCCTATCTATCACTATACCATTGTAAATAATAATAATAATAATAATAATAATAAAGCAGAAGGTTGAGGAGGTGATTATAATAATAATCTTGACGTCAAAGTAAAGGATGAAGAAAATCTTTCGTTGAAATCTCTTTACCTTATTCGAAAATGTTTACACTCTATTATACCTATATTATCTTACAGACATTTTCGAATTTTAGTGGGATCATATATAATTACCTAGAAGAAGGTGGAGTTAGACTAAGAATTAATTAAGGTGCCACAAGCTAAGCATAACAAATGACATTAGTTATTATATTTTTACACTAATTTTTTTTATTTTATCTTCTTTTTCTATTGATCATTCATTACTTTTTTTTTTCTTCTTCTTCTTTTTCGTCTCTTCTCTGCATTTATTTCACACCTATTTAAAAGGTGTAAAATGATAATTTTCGTTGGGACATTTTCATTCGTAAATAGCACTTTTATGTAAACGATAAGCCAAAGAATTAACACAGAGCTAATTACTTGAAACGTGAGTGATAATCCACAAGGGCCAAGAACAAGAGCCAGTGAAAATTATAGGAAAAATTAAAGTCGAAAAAACATTTTTTAAATCAATTTTGTCAGAATTAATTTAGCTATTAAAAAATGCGACATGCTTTTTAATATGTTATTTTCAACATATTTTTTATTATTGTGAACAAGCAAAAAAAATAGGCTCACTCTTTACGAGGTAAATCTTACTCTTTTTAGTGAAATCAACTTATATTTCATCGAAAAAAATATATTATTATAAAAAAAAACACGTCAAAGAATGAATTGTTGATATTATCTTTTTAAAAAGTTAATTATCAGCTTAAAAGTGAAGGGTCTATTTTTTAAATTTTTTAATTTCACATTTTCATTAATAAAAATAACTTTTTCATCTAATATTTGTAGCATTTGCATTATTTTTTATATAATAAAATAAAATTTCTCAAACTATTCACGCGCAAGATTCTCCCAAAAAGATTATAATTCCCTATCACATCACATTATGTAATGCGCCACCCTCTTTTTGAGGTTTTTACGAATTGAGCCATGGAAAACACATTCTTAGTTGTAGTTTTTGAAAAGAAGTTGTTGGTCCATAAGAACAAACGGAATGGGTCTTAGTCAATGTTACCTCCGAAGGCCATTATTATTGGAAAGTTTGGTCAACTTGGCTTTATGGGTTATGGTCTTATGGGACTTATGAGTCTTTGCTGACCTGAAATCCTTATTGAAATTTTTTGGATGGACTCAGCATGACTCGTAATAGCTACTTGTCAAGCCAATGGACTCATCTGTTAGACATATGTGTCTCCCTGGTCGTGTCCTTGGCGACAAAGAACGCTGTGAAATCTCTGTGCTTTTACTTTTTCAGTTCTTTCCTCACTACACACTCACACCCTCTTCTTTGATCACTTTAAATCTACTATTGTTATGAACGAAAACAATGAGCTAATAAAGACTAATATTATTTACCATTAACCTTTTCTATACACTTCTCTCTAAATTATTATTAAACAGCTTTCATTTCACACTTATCCTATACATGCTACAACCATACACTAGTGAAAAAAATCAAATATAATAGTTATACTATTTACAATTTAAGTTTCAATGTTAAAAATTTTACACTGTTAATTAATTAGAAAACATCATGAATTTTTTTTTATATTAATTATTATAAAAATTTATAATATTTACTAATATGACAATTAATTGATAATTGAATGATAGGGTATAATTATTGTATAAATAAAAACTACAATTACAATAATTGCTTTAACAATCATGTAAGTAATTAAAATATATCAAATTGGGAGACCTTAATTCACATGGTACAATTAAACAGTGATGTGAAATTCATTCAACACTACAATCTAGAGTCAATGCAAGCCCTTCAGCCGCTAATAATAATAATAATAATAATAATGTCAATAAAGAGGAGCTTCGGCTCCCACTCTGAAATGCCACATAAATACCACACAAAGTGGCTCTTTTTTCTCCCTCTTTTCTCTTTTTCCATATGCATCATTCCTCTAAGCTGATATCACGGCTTCAACTAGGAGACATCATCATTATATATAGACCCCAATTAGAACACTGCACAAAAGAATTTCAGAAGAATATAAGCGTTAAGGAAGTGAGTGACACTGAATAGCCCACCAACCACTAC